CGTGTGGGTGAAGTCGGTAGTAACAAACCGACTCGTCGAAGGTGACGTCCTGAGAGGACAGAACACGACGCGAGGCAGGGTGGTAGAAGTGCCAGGGTGGAGCGTCGGTGGGGAAGCCCAGGAAGACACAGCGGAGAGTGCGAGGAGAGAGCTTGCTCGCTTTGGTATCGCGAACAAGGAAAGAGCGCGCCCTAGACCCGAAACGACGACGCATCACGAGGCTGTCCCGTCCAACGGAGTGTGGGCGAGGTCTCTGGAGCAGAGACACGGGGCCAGAGGTTGAGCTGATGCGCGGCGTATCGGACCGCAAACGGCCACAGGAAATGGGGAGCAGCCGCATGGATCGTGGAGGTACGAGCAACCTCCATGATCAGGCCAATGCGACGCTCAGCGATCCCATTTTGCTGCGGAGAGGCCGGAAGCGTGAACGACTGGCGGATGCCCTCATCCTGGCAGAACGTCTCAAGGACGCCAGAGGAGAACTCACCACCCCTGTCAGAGTGCAGACGCAGGACTGGGAAGTCCTGCTGAAAGTGCTCGTGCAGCTGGAGACGAGCAGCACGGATCCAGGGGATCAAAACACCGCTGACGTCCGCCTTGCGACGCAAGGGGAAGACTGTGGTGTAGCGTGTGTAGTCGTCAACAACCAGCAGGAAGTAGCGCTCCAGGTCCGTCCCACCGACTGGGGCCGGGCCCCACACGTCCAGGTGGAGAGTCTGCAGAGGAGCAGTGGTCGGAGGAAACTCGGAGGAGTGAGGAGCGGCGCGCTGCCGCCCCTCGACGCAAGGAAGGCACGGCGGCGCAAGTGAGCGCGGGAAGGGGGGCAGGGTCCTGGGGAGGCCAGAGACAAGGAGACGGGAGTGCATACTGCGTAGACGCTGCAGGCAGGGGTGACCAAGACGGTGGTGCCAGCGCTGAGTCTCGTGCGTGAGTACTCTGCACGAGCAAGACGCAGCGAACTGCCCCGACGCAGACGCCCGACTCGACGCAGCCACCTGACCTGACTCAACCACCTGTGCAGATGCAGTGGTCAGTGTGTACAAACTGGACCCAGGCTGTCGAGTGAACGTAGCGAGGTGACGGCCAGTCCGGGAGCACGTACAGATCGCCACACGCTGCCCTCCAGGAATAAAGGTATCAACCCAGACATCCTGAATGGCAGCGTTGCTCACCAAGTTCGTCGAGAACGTGGGGAGGTGGAGACTTCACAGAGAGCCGGAGGGGACTGCTGGACAAGGGAGGACCGTGGAGGCTCTCGCAACTACTGGGCCCCCAGAAGGGTCAGCCAGTGAGACTGGGACAGGTGCTGCGAGTGGTGTGACTGTGGTGCAATCACGAAAGAAGCAACGTGACGCGCCTGAGTCAAGCGTGAAAGTGTGCAAGACCTCAGCTGAGGCAGGACCTGTGGTAGGAAACGCACTAGCACCTAGAGCGTCGGCAGACTCATGGGCACCTAGAGCTGCAGCAGACTCACTAGCACCTGGAGCGGCAGCAGACTCACTAGCACCTGGAGTAGTAGCAGACTCACTAGCACCAAGAGCAGCAGTCTTAACAAAACGATAACCTCCACCACCAGGACGATCTCGCTGAATAACCCACTCACGAAGCTGCTGAGGGGTGGGGTTGTCCGGGAGAAGCAGTGCCCGCTGCTGTCCACCCCTGACCGCAGCAACTGCCGCGGAAGTGGCCATGACAGACAGTGACGGTCAGGAGTAGGTCCAGCACCTCCAGCTCCTACAGCACCAGCAGCACCTCCTGCACTCCCAGCAGCACCTTCACCAGCAGCAGCAGTAGCACGAGTAGCAGCAGCAGTAGTAGTAGTAGTAGTATTATTATTATTATTATTGTTTGTTTTTATGTTTTTTAGGGTTTAGGGTTGCGCGCGGCCCACGGGCTGAAGGGGCGACGCGCGGCTCGGCAGGGCGGCGCGCGGGCTGCAGGGGCAGCGCCCACGGGCTGTAGGGGCGATGCGCAGCTCGGCAGGGCGGCTCGCGGGCTGTAGGGGCGGCGCGCGGCTGGGCAGGGCGGCGCCCAGGCTGCAGGGGCGACGCTCGGCTCGGCAGGGCGGCGCGCGGGCTGCAGGGGCAGCGCCCACGGGCTGCAGGGGCGACGTGCGGCTCCGCAGGGCGGCGTACGGGCTGCAGGGGCGATGCGCGGCTCTGCAGGGCGGCGTACGGGCTGCAGGGGCAGTGCCCACGGGCTGCAGGGGCAGTGCCCACGGGCTGCAGGGGCAGTGCCCACGGGCTGCAGGGGCAACGCGCGGCTCGGCAGGGCGGCGCGCGGGCTGCAGGGGCAGCGCCCACGGGCTGCAGGGGTGACGCGCGGCTCTGCAGGGCGGCGTACGGGTTGCAGGGGCGACGCGCGGCTCTGCAGGGCGGCGTACGGGCTGCAGGGGCAGCGCCCACGGGCTGTAGGGGCAACGCGCGCCTCGGCAGGGCGGCGCGCGGGCTGCAGGGGCAGCTCCCACGGGCTGCAGGGGCGACGCGCGTCTCGGCAGGGCGGCGCGCGGGCTGCAGAGGCAGCGCCCACGGGCTGCAGGGGCGAACGCGCGGGCTGCAGGGGCAGTTCGCGGGCCACAGGGGCAGGCACGGCTGCAGGGGCAGCACGAACGCAGGGGGAGGCACGGTCGCAGGGGCAGGCACGGCTGCAGGGGCAGCACGGTCGCAGGGGCGAGTACGGCTGCAGGGGCAGCGCGGTCGCAGGGGCAGCACGCGGGCTGCAAGGGCAGCGCGGCTGCAGGGGCAGCGTAGGAAGAAAAAATTACAGTTAGGGCAGGGCGGAACGTTCGGTGGGCCCTAGGAACGATTCTGCTCTGATACCATGTTAGAATAAGCAGGAATGAATGGTGGACTAGGTAGCATGCATGAGTACAAGTACCTAACCCTAAAGTGTTGTACCCCTTGTAGGCTAACCCATTATAGCCTAAAGATGACACAAACATACAGTTTGACACGAAGATGGGTGAGTGTATGATTGTTCCTACCCTTAGGCATTTGTCAAGTGACACCAATGTCACTACCAGGAAAACTTGGATTTGACCGCCTAGAAGTGATGGAAAAAAATACGCAACATTGACAATGAGAAACCTATGTGATTTCATTGGAAGGGGGAACAACAGCTGTCCTTTTGAAATTGCTTCACTTCTACTATAAAATTTCGCCATATTTCACACAATCTGTAAGGATGGTGGGTCTTACAGTAGGGGAGTATAGCCCGAAAGATATCTAAACATATACGGGGAACTCCAACTAATTAAGCATCCGTAGCAAATGGGATATCAGCTGGTCGTCCAGACGATATCCCATAGCAGGTTTTGTTGTGAGCATCGAAGCCTCAAATATCGCACTCTAAACTGAGCCTGCTACGTCACCATGTGCTGGCGTGGCCAGTCTCGACTCTCGATGTTTGCAGCTGACTGACATCTTCCAGGCCACCCCGCCCAATTCGCACAGCCTTCCCGTTCCCTTAGCGAGCGAGCTTAGCTAAACACTGGTTATTGACAGACCTTCGTCCAGGCCACCTAAACCGCAGTGGAAACACGTCTTTATCTTCCGTTGGATTTCAACCAACCACGGGAATATCCCTTGCCAGCTAGCCTGGCTCTCTCCCCCCCCCATCAGCAAGCAGCTGTTTTCGCGTGTAGACCTAGCCTACCAATTTCGTGGAGCTTCAAGACGCAACAACCTAGTCTGAACTCCACTGCTCCTTAGTGTGCCGAGCTAAGTACCACTCGGGCCGGACCTTCCCGGTCAAGCTCACCGGTTGTCCCTTGCGTTCAACTCCCGAGACACTATGACGTTGGGAGGCCTTGTTGCGCGCTTGGCGCGGCAGAATGCCAAGTCGGTTGCGTCAGGGAAGTTTCCTCTCAGAACGTTTGTGAGCGGATCGGCTCCCGCGCTTGCTGCTGCATCCAATAGCATGCAGCAGTTCTCGATTTACCGATGGGATCCCGACCAGAACGAAAAGCCGCGTCTTCAAACCTACACCATAGACACCAAGGAATGCGGACCCATGATTCTTGACGCCCTGATTAAGATTAAGAACGAGGTCGACCCGACTCTCACATTCCGCAGATCTTGCCGGGAAGGGATCTGCGGTTCTTGCGCGATGAACATCAACGGCGCGAACGGCCTTGCCTGTCTCACCAAGATCGAAGCATCCCCAGGATCTTCTATTCCAATCACTCCGTTACCGCATATGTTTGTCATTAAAGATCTCGTGGTGGACATGACTCAGTTCTACCAGCAGTATAAGTCTATCGAGCCATGGCTGAAGACCAAGAAGCTGCCGGAAGATGGAAAGGAGTTTCTTCAGACTAAGGAGGACCGCGCGAAGCTCGACGGCATGTATGAATGCATCCTGTGCGCGTGCTGCAGCACCTCGTGTCCGAGCTACTGGTGGAACCCTGAGAAGTACCTCGGACCGTCTGCGCTTCTGAATGCCAACAGGTATTGTGATAAAAGCCAATCGTTTGTCTTTGTTTGTTTTTTCCTCTTTCTTTGAGTTGTCTCTGTAGTCCTGCATCTGCATGTAACAATATGTTCTGTCTATGGTTTCAGGTGGATCATGGACAGCCGTGATGAGTTTACTAAGGAGAGGCTCGACGATTTGAATGACCCTTTCAAGCTGTATCGCTGCCACACCATTATGAACTGCACCAAGGCGTGTCCTAAGGGTTTGAGCCCAGGAAAGGAGATCGCCAACATCAAGCGCTTGATGGTGACCAAAAGCTGAATGTTTATCACACAATGATTTCATGTGTAATGCTGTATGTAGAGATTGAATTGAATTTCATCATATCTTCTCATTGTGATGACCCGCAGCCAAATTGCACCTTGGGCTTGTAATGAGTAAGAACTCAGGAGGTCAACACACTGAATTAATTACAAGCCATGCAGAAATTAACACTTGACAGTATCGTAACGTTTGCACACATCTAACGTAGGTGCAAGTGGAAGAGCTGAACACTATCCCCAAAAAATATTGTTTACTACGTAAATTCAAGCTGACATTACCCCAACTGGATACACCACCTGCTGGCAAGAATCTGCTGGATCAAACACAGCATCTAGCTTCCTTGTCTCCACCTGCTTCTCAGTTCCAGTGAACACATTCGCCATATCTGGCAGCCTATCCTTCAGGTGCTGGAGAACATGCCACATGATGTCCATGCGCTCTACAGGTTGCTTGCACTGCAAAAAAAAAAAACGGTGATCACTTTAGTCCCCCGACTGAGTACAACACACGAAACCTCCTGGTTCTGTGTCCTAATGACTGACCTCGCGGATAAGGGACTGGAAACACTATCAGCAAATGCAAGACTCACCTCAGCAATGATGTGTGCCTTGACACGACCACCAGAGGACTTCACTGATGACTTGCGAACCACCAGCCCAATCTGGCGAAGTCCATCAGCAAGGTCAATCGGCACAGTGCTACCAATCCACTCGACCTGCACAGCAGAATATCCACACATTGTTGAGCTGACCTGGAGGATATTCACACAACAAACTCTGACGATACGGTTGCATGAGTGAATAATGAAAAGTTTCATAACTAATCACCTTAATTTGAACCAGAGTTGGCGAAAGTTGATGCACAGATACCGGGCTTTCACTGATACATTCATCAAAACTCTTCTCCGCCTGCTTACAAAAAGAAAACAGTGTTAAGTCATCCAACGTGAAACACAGAAGGGATGAAGCAACCATGTACCTAGGGGCATAACTCACCAGCATTGCTTGGCCTTTGTCAATGTCTGCACGGAGAGCCGAGAATTCCCTCAGGAATACAAGATGTTGGATTGTGCGCTCCAGCAGTCCATCAATGCTCAGCTGCAAGAAACCGGTGGATCCGTTTGTCAATTCAAGCACCAGATCAAAGCAGAAAAGAGAAACGAAAAAGGAAAAAAAAGAAAAACAAAGATGATAAAACAGGCCCCTTAAAGCCCAAACATACCCTTTCAGAGTTTGGCACTATCCCTCGCAAATCCTTCACACGATCTTGAATCAGCTGCCTATCTCGAGGCCTCTGCTTGGGCTTCTCCTCCCTCCCCCTCTTCTTCGTCCCCTTCTTCTCCTCCTTCCCAGCAGCAGCGGCAGCACCACCACATAGCTCCTCCTGCACACCAGCGTTCGCTGACCGGTCTGGCAAGGCCTTGAACGCAGTCTCAGACTGGAACACGCTCTTTCCATTGGGCTCCACGCTTCTCGCACCTCTTCCACTATCGCCAGCAGCTTTGCCAGCAACGCTGGTCCTGCTCTGAAGCCCAGGCAGGCTCCCAAGCTTTGCGCCTGACGCCATCCCAGCACTGGCTGCTTCCGCTGCAGCAGCAGCTCCGCCCACTGAGTTGCGTGTCCCGAGGACTTGGCTTTGCTGCAGCTCAGCGAGGCTCAGGCGGGGCAGCAGCCCCGAGGTCCGCATGAGAGCTTCCAGAGTCGCCATCCGTTCCATTTCCGCAAGGCTGTTCCCCATCCCCGCTCCCGCTCCCGCCCTCGCCCCCGCTCCCGCCGCCACCCCCATCCCCGACCCCACACCGCCGTTCAGTGCGCCTGCCCTGCTCGCCGACGCACTCAGCTCGTCAAACCCGAGAGCACTACCGGCAGCAGCGGCCGCTTCACCCCTGTGCTGCAGCTTCTGTGGTTGCGGCAGCCCTGAAGCCATGGAGAACCCTCCCCTCGACGCACCATCACCGCACCTAGCGCCTCCAACAGCCGCGGCCTGGTCGAACACGCCGCGGCTCATTCCACTTCCCAACTGACCGTTGGCAGACACTTGGTTCGCGCCAATGTCCGCCAAGTTAGCCAGGTCAGCCAAATCCGCCAAGTCAATGGGCAACTGGCCTGTGAAGTGCAGTCCCAGGGCCTGCGCGAGCTCATCTGCGCCGCCAAACGCGGACGAAGACCCCAGCGCTTCACCGCCGGTGCTGTTGAACTGAGACGCCCGCGCAGCAGCGTTCCCGTTCCGACTGCCAGCCATGCCGCTCGCGGTCATGCCGCTCGCAGTCATTCCGCTCGCAGTCATGCCCGCGAGGAGCTGCTCGTCCAGACCCGCGAAGCCGCCGGCAACACCAAGGCTTCTCCGCGCGGTCGCGCGCTCGGACGCAGCACCCGGTGGGATGCGCTTCTGCGCGGCGGAGCTGGCGGAGGGGAGGTTGGCGGAGGGGTGGTTGGCGAGGGACGGTGAGGCGTCGTTGAGGAACTGGTCGTGGAACATGCGGAGCTCCTTCTCCAGATCCACCACCGCCTTCCGCTTCGCCGCTCCCGCTCCCGCTCCCGCTCCCGCCTCCGCTCCTCCCAGCAACTCGCCAGACGGGCCGAGAACGTGCGCGGAAGCTTCCGCCGGAGACGACTGTCGGGACGACATCTGCGTACGTTCCACAGGGCTGTGACTCAGCGAATGGGAGGGAAGAGTCGGACCGCCTAGAGGGAGGTCCGAGTCGAAGAAGTTGAGCTGAATCTGGTTAATGGCGACGGAGGCACGAGTCGTCCTCTCCGGAGCGACCTTCACTCGCTTTGCCGTGCTCGGGTAGTCACTCAACGATGCTGCTTCTTGTTTCGGGTCCGCTGGCGGCTTCAGAGCCGCGGATCCCAGAAACCGAGAAGCGTTCTGGTCGTCGGCACGGCAGTCAGAAGGGATGCCGAGAATGCTGAAGAGATCCGACGGCGAGGAGGCGGCCAGCTGATTTCCCGCGAGCGAACGAGATGGAGCTGGAGCGGAAGGAGGAGCAGCCGCAGCAGGAACAGGCATCTGTTGGCTTGGCGGGTTAGACTGGACTGAACGACGGCTGAGAGCCCCGGGGAAAGAGACGCCGAGGAAACTGGACTGCGGGTTGGGATTGCCAAGAGACGCGGCGATGTCGGGAGGAAATCCGGCGGCTGCAAGCGCGGTCGCGTCCGGCGTGGGAAAAGATTTCGCTTTCAGAGCATTGTCGGTGAAGAGATCGGATAGAAACGCTCCGGGAACTGTTTGAAGCGCAGCGAAGAGAGAGCGGATGTGTGACACGAATTTCAAATCCTCTGGCATCTGCACAAGACGGAGAGACGCCGAAAGTTAACACGGGACTCCCGAAAGTCAAATACTTATATTTAACCGGCGGAAAAAAGTATTTAGACTGACCGATCGACTGGAGCCGAGCTGCAAGACTCCCTCCGGCACGGCGATGACGGCAATAGTCTGTGAGAACAAAAACGATAATTTCACAGCTTTAGTAGGCCGGAAGCAGCAAACCGTTCGCGGATTTAAACAGATCCAATTATACGCACCTTCACTCCGGCAGAGAATTGATCATCCCATCCGGATGGATACTGGAAGGAGAAATAACACAAGTACACGTCAAAAACGCCGTACAGTACAAATGACACGACCTTAAAATATGAGCGAGAATTCAGCTACGTATGAAAGTTAGATAAATACCTTGTCAACACCCGTGCAGCCTCCGTATCCCTTCATGGAGGAAAATCCTGGGCGGGAATCCATGCCCGGGACTCCTTGAGATCGTGGAGCGAATATCCATTGATGCTTCCCAGAAAAGGCCACTCTTCCCACGACTCTGAGAAGCAGATGAAACGACGGGATGATTTGAGTCGACAATGCTAACGAAAGACTCTCCGGCGTTAATGATGCATCATACGAGAAGCACAGACAAAATGTCGAGAAAACAAACCGACAAGAATACTGAGTGTCAGGAAACCTGGACACAAATGAACTAGTGCTCACCCTTCTCCGAAAGAATATATGTGATAAGACATCTTCGCGACAGCCATGCCGAGCACATTCCCGTCGATGCTACTAATATCTGCGCCCTGCTCCGTCTGAGAACCTCCGGGAGTCGTCGAACAATATCCATCCTCCCAAGTCAAGACCCTGAAATAATTGGTAGGATGCAGCGTTAGCTAACACGATATTGCTGAAACTGCAATAAAAACCTGTAAGGACGGGAAATTCCCCAACGTACATTCTGTTGCGTCTCTTGAGCTTCCAGAACACTGCATAGGTCCACCCATCTGGGGAGCATAAACTCCGAAGTGTCTGCCGTAGTATAACCATGGTCGCAACCGCGGCTTCGTTGCCGACTAGTAGAAAATAAAACAGACTACTAAGACCCTACGGCGATGCTCTTCGCACCTCGAGCATTCCTACTACACACACGTCGTCTGTTTGCCTAACGGTACCAAAAGGCACGCAGAATGAAACCCTAGAGCACACGGGACTACGTACTACTTGCTGAATTCAGTGCTTATTAGACTAAAACTCAGACGGGAAGGAAGAGCACGGACACTAAGGACCAAAGAATAATCTCTAAACGGAGAACTAACCGGACTAAAGTCTGCTGGTAGTATTGATGGCGCGTGGATAGGCTTGATGATTGACAAGGCAGGATAGGACTAGGGTTTGCTGATGTCTGAGGAGGGATGTGGAGTTTTGATTGCACAGCAGGGAGGGTTTGCTCTCTGGACTGAAGGGCAGGAGTGCAACTGACGGATCTCGATTCTCGTCGCATCTCAGGCAGGACGACGAAACCAGAGTCGAAATGGGGTTGGCCCGGGATGAGCGGAAGGGTCAGGACTCAGGACCTTGTCGGTGAACGAGCAGCAGCAATGCCGCTACACATGATGCCCGTTTGAGCCACTCCCGGTTGCCTTGTGAAGGGGGCGCATAAGCTGTCACGTGCATTTCGCATAAGTTTCGTCAATTCGCAGCTAGCAAAAAAGGATTCGTCAGGTTCTTATATTTTTTTTTGTAACTTATCTGTTGACATTTTGACTTCAGTCTCTTCAGTTTGACTTCGGTCCGTTCGTTATTATTGGTTCAGAACCACTGCAACTTGCGCGACGTGCTTGTAACGTGCGTGCAACTGGCTGGTGAAAAACCCTCGGGTGCAAGGTTTCCATCCGGTTCAGGCCAAATTCGCGTGCAGGGGTTGGGCATCATGTGTAGGAGGTGCCCCCTTGACGTTCTGCGGGCAGACCAAGGCGAAATGCATGAAACAGTCTCCCCGTCATCGTGTCGTGTGGTGGTGACAGGGTGGGGCGGGAGGTGGCTACAGTCGAACGAACACCAGCAAGGAAAAACCGCGGCAAGGGGAAACCAACGGGCTGGCAAGTACAGTGTAACCTGCTTGCAGTTTGATGCAAGGATCCTATCACAGAAGCTCTGATTTTGTTCACGTCACGAATCACTTCACCACCGTGGTGGGTCGAGGTCAGCCTTTCCATTTGATTCGCAATGCAAGATCATAGCAAAACGCGTATTCGTTAACAATACAGCCCCTCCAAAAAAATGAGGCGCTGGTTTTGACGCAAATTGAGCTGTTTCTGTTGTTCTGACAAAACATCAGCTTCCGAATCAAGCGTTGTGGCGGCTCTCCTCAGCGATGGTTGTATTCTGGAAAACTTTCAAGTGTGTACCCTTAATAGCTGCCTCTTTACAATAATTAAGAGCTATCCGCAATTTGAGACAGGTATGTCATGCATCCTGGGTGTACTCTATTCAAGCTACCTAATCAGATTCATGCTTGCCTGGTTGATGTGGGTCAGGCGCCGCGTCAATTTCCCAGAGGCGTTATGTTGGATTGGTTGGGTTTAGGGCGTTGCACATGGCAGTTCCCAGGGATGCGGTGGCACTGGGGCACCTTTTTAGCGGCGGCGAAAGAGGGGGTGTTTCTGCAAGCACGAAATTTTCTGCAGAAGATTCTTTCGTTCATTTTTTAGCTGGAAATTCTGTGATCAACTAGGAACCAAACTTGTCCGAAACACGCCCTCAGCACTGCTCCAAACAGGATCTACTTTGTGCTATGATCTCTGTGTGCTGCCTCCCAACCACACCAGCTCCATAAACCTCTAGAATCAGAGCATTTGCGCTCAGAACCTCCAGCTTTGATCAGCACGTACTGCATTTATCCATTATCTTACCGCTGGTTTATAAGACCCGAACTAAAGAGCTCTGGTAGTAAATAAACGATCAGCTTTATCAGCGGCAGCTGTGCGCACCAACTCTTGATCGTGTGATCTGAAACGCAGGTAGTAGAGGTTTACTTCCCTAGACCCAGCAAGGCAAGGTGTCAACTTTATTATCGCTGTAAACGAGCTATGGGAAAGACCAAATACGTGGTCGTGACTGGAGGCGTCGTGAGTGGATTGGGGAAGGGAGTTACAGCAAGCAGCATCGGTGTTATTCTAAAAGCATGCGGCCTCCGGGTCACTTCGATCAAGATCGGTACGAGAAATGTCGTGGATATGGGTTTGATACGAATAGTTTGAATGCTCTCGTCGTAGCTACATGCGGGTATCGCGTCATTTATCAGCCAGTTCAAGCAGTCGCTGGTAAGGAGCACCAGATCCCGAAGCCAGCACCGTGGTAACTTTGTCGCCGCTTCGTTCGTTTCGCGATTGTTCGCAGATCCGTACATCAACACGGACGCGGGGACCATGTCGCCATTCGAGCACGGCGAAGTGTTTGTGCTGGACGACGGCGGAGAGGTGAGCGAGGGAGTTCCGAGACTTCGAGTTGATCAGGGTGTTTCAAGGGAAGAGGTTTTATCAGTTTGTTGCAAGGGAAAAAAAACGTTCAACAGCTTTATGAAGAAAGCGCCGGTAGCTCATCTTGATCCCATTGGCCCAATGAGGTTCTGCAGAAGATCAGGCTCAGCATTCGAAGGCTAAGTTTCCAGTTGTAAACGCTTTGGCCAGCATTGCGTCCCTGCTTCTCCTCCCGCATCAGGTGGATCTGGATTTGGGGAACTACGAGAGATTCCTCGACATCACGCTCACGCGAGATAACAACATCACGACTGGCAAGATCTATCAGGTAGGCCTGCCGTGCTAGCCGTCGCTTGTTTTGCCGTGGCACATCCTCCTAGTCGCCTGTCAGTCCGTACAGTCGTTTTAGTTCTATAATCGCGTGACCTAGTCGTCAGATGCGTTGTGAGAACGTTTCGATTCATTGTTTTGCCTTCCCCGTCTGACCCTGATTCCTTCCACTTGGCAGTCCGTGATTGAACGGGAGAGGCGTGGTGACTACCTCGGCAAAACCGTTCAGGTAGATACGATTGCGGCAATCACAGCATGTGACCATTCCATACCTCCATTCGTGCGGTTCCGAGTCTCTGCTTCGTTGACAGTTGGTTGGTATGACTCATTGGCCTGATCTGTCAAAGCGTCACTTTTAGAGTAATATGCTTGAACAGAGATTTGCATTTATCTCCAGAGTCCATCAGCATTGCAGAGGGTGAGAGCTTAAACATACTGCTAGCATGGCAAAACCCGAGACCCTGAATCCACCATGGGAAAAGCATAAACCCTTAGCACGGCATCTCAAGAGATTTAACTCTAAACCTGTGCGCTATATATCCAGCCAGAGACGGATACGCGGCATTCCATACGCACCTCGAACCGGACATGAAGTCATAAACTTTATACCCTCAACCCTCTCACCTCTTCATTCCCGCTCCACCTTTTAACGTTCTCCGCCGCCTCCCTTCCGCCGCACACAATCACGCCCGTTCAGGACTTGATTGAGCGTGTAGCGCAAGCATGCATCGGGGTAGCTGGTGTCATTGAAACGTCCCCTCTCCTCCCCTCCCCCTCCATCCTCTCCCAACCCCACCGTCCACCTCCCCTCCATTCTTCTGTGCACCTCAGGTGGTGCCGCACATCACCACGGCCATCCAGGATTGGATAGAGCGCGTGGCGCAGGTACCAGTGGACGGCAGTGGGGAACGTGCTGACGTCTGCGTCATCGAGCTGGGCGGCACTGTTGGTACGTCGGGCGGCAATGTTTTCCTCGCGTGCAGGGCTCAAAGAATATAATTTTGGTGTTTTCTGTCGTCTGATTTTTTTCCCAGGCCTGGCTGCCACCCTTTGTCCTCACTTCATCTGATGTTTTCTCCCTCGTTTCTCTCCTTGCACCCTTGTTTCCCACTCCTCTCTCCCCAGGTGACATCGAGTCTATGCCCTTCATCGAAGCGCTTCGTCAGTTTCAGTTCAGAGTCGGTACGTTACGTACAGCCCCGCCCTCTCTTTAAAATCTGTATGTACTTCTTTCCATCAGATCATCATCGTCCACGTCGTGCCTTGCTTCCTTCTTCCTTGCTTCCTTCTTCCTTCTTCCTTGCTTCCTTCTTCCTTCTTCCTTCTTCCTTGCTTCCTTCTTCCTTCTTCCTTCTTCCTTGCTTCCTTCTTCCTTCTTCCTTCTTCCTTGCTTCCTTCTTCCTTCTTCCTTCTTCCTTGCTTCCTTCTTCCTTCTTCCTTCTTCCTTCTTCCTTCTTCCTTCTTCCTTCTTCCTTCTTCCTTCTTCCTTCTTCCTTCTTCCTTCTTCCTTCTTCCTTCTTCCTTCTTCCTTCTCCCTTGCTATGCTTCCATCACTCCCTCGCTTCGCCCGTGCAGGGCAGGAGAACCTGTGTCTGGTGCACGTGAGTCTGGTGCCGGTGCTGGGAGTGGTGGGAGAGCAGAAGACCAAGCCCACGCAGCACAGCGTGCGCGAGCTCAGAGCGCTCGGCCTCATGCCCAACCTCCTCGCCTGCCGCAGCGCCGAGGTACACATGTTCTGAGGTACACTTTCAGCACAGTTAAGGTGTATCTGGTAGCTTTCGAGTCGACTCAAAAGAGCTCAGAGCGCTCGGCCTCATGCCCAACCTCCTTGCCTGCCGCAGCGCCGAGGTACACCTCAGCGCATTTATCCATTTGCTTTCGCTTTTTTGTGGTTTCATTTACGTCTACTGGTGGGGCGTGAGGAGAGGATGCACACTGCACCGCATACACACAAATTCCCGCCACCTGTTGGCCCCTCAACCCCCGACAACTTTTCTCTCCGTCCCCCCTCCCTTCTCTCCCTCGCACTCTTTCTCCCTCGGCCCTCGCATCTGTTCTCAACTTCCCCTGCACTCCCCTTCTCGTTCTGCTGTGCTCCCCCTCACGCCGCCCTGGTTCTCCTCTCACCAGCCCCTAGAGCCGTCCACTCGAGAGAAGCTGTCGCAGTTCTGCCACGTGCCTGTGAGTGCCTGCAGGGCTGGGACTTATTTCGAGTGCCTGCAGGGCTGGGACTTACATGCGATATTGAGTGGCATGAGGCTTTGAGGTGGGGTTGGGAGGGGGAAGCGGGAAACGGGGTGGGGGGAGGGGAGAGGAAATGGAGGGAAAGGCTGAGTGGAAGGGTCAGACCGTCAGATAGAGTGGTATCCCTCCTGGGCAGCTATTGCAGGGGGGCGTGTCACGGCGAGTCACTTTGATTGCAGCCTTGCACAATGTCGTGGTTTTGTTTGCATGCGTTTGTTCCGTTGTCATGCTCTCGCCCTCTCATGTCCGCATGCCTTCTGAGGCGCCGCAAAACCTTTTTCATTCTCTCACCCTCTCGTGCTCGCATGCCCGTATGTATGCCCCTCGCCCGCCCCCCGCCCATGCATGCACGCAGGTGCAAAACGTGCTCAACCTGCATGACGTGAAGAACATCTGGCACATCCCGCTGCTGCTGCTCGTGAGTATCGCCATCTCACTGCGCCGTCTCACATCCCCGGGTCTTACTTTTATGAAAACAAAGAGGAAACATTAAGACACGTGTCTGCTTCGCTTGGGAGTTGCACCGACTAGTAGTTTCCCACTCCTCATTTCCCGTTTTTGCTAACTCGCTTCTTCAACTCAACCCCTTCTCCCATCCCCTCAAGTTTCAACGCTCTCTCCCCTTCCTCAATCCCCCTCCCCCTGCCCCTCTCTCTCGCGTCTATCAGGAGCAAGGCGCCCATCTGTCCATTCTCAAGCAATTCCAAATCGAGTACGTTCCCTTACCTCTCACTGACCTTACCTCTCACTGACCTTACCTCTCACTGACCGCATGTCGGAGCCACGAGAATCCTCCCTTACATCTAGATTCTTCTCTCCACTCTTCTCACATCATTCTGCAACGAGAATTCTCAAGTGAGAGAGACTGGCTGAACCAACCGTACATCAACCAAACCAAACCGGATCCTCCTACCCTGCCTGCACCCACACTACCATTGCTATCCTCCCATGCAGGCCTTCCGAGCCTCAGCTCCAGGAATGGGCGCACCGAGCCAAGAGCTGGGACGGACTCACAGAGACAGTGAGTGCTGAGTTTGCTGCTGGTGGTGCTATTGCCAAATGCAAGTTATCCTGGTGTGAGCATTGCTAGGGTGACTATTGCCTGTGTGCGACCATTGCTCCCACCTTCCCTCCCCCACACCACTCCACCTCCTCACCAGCCCAAATTCTGCCACGAGAGCAATTGAGCGTTGCCTTGCCACGGTGGGCATTGTAGTCCTTGCTGAAACCATGGAGAAAAAAAATGAAACAAAAAAACAAATCGCCATGGTGGGGAAAAAAAAAAAAAAACATGTTTCCTCCCCATTTCACATGGTCCGTCACGCGAGCAGGCGACCATCGCCATGCTGGGAACCTTCTTGTCCTCCCTCTTCACTCACCTTTTCTCCAACCACATGATAAAAGTAACATTTTGAGACGTCTCAGAATGTTACTTTTATCACCTTCTTGTCCTCCCTCTTCACTCACCTTTTCTCCAACCCCCACCCACCTCCCCACCCCTCTGTGTGACTCTCTGTCCCCCATGCCCCCAGATGAGCATAGCCATGGTGGGCAAGTACACGGGCCTCTCCCACTCGTACCTCTTTGCTCACCTCTCCACCCCCCACACCTCTCTGTCATTCCCCCCTACCTGTCCACCCCCCCTATGACCACCATGCAGGTTAGCATTGCCATGGTGGGCAAGTACACGGGCCTCTCCGACTCCTACCTCTCCGTGCTCAAGGTGCGTTCCACAGCGTTCCACGTTCCGCACCACAACCCACCGCGTTACCGCCCACCGCGTTACAGCCCACCGCGTTACAGCCCACCGCGTTACAGCCCACCGCGTTACAGCCCACCGCGTTACAGCCCACCGCGTTACAGCCCACCGCGTTACCGCCCACCGCGTTACAGCCCACCGCGTTACAGGCCACCGCGTTACCGCCCACCGCGTTACCGCCCACCGCGTTACAGCCCACCGCGTTACAGCCCACCGCGTTACAGCCCACCGCGTTACAGCCCACCGCGTTACAGCCCACCGCGTTACAGCCCACCGCGTTACAGCCCACCACGTTACAGCCTACCGCGTTACAGCCCACCACGTTACAGCCCACCGCGTTACAGGCCACCAAGTTACAGCCCACCGCGTTACAGGCCACCACGTTACAGCCCACCGCGTTACAGGCCACCACGTTACAGCCCACCGCGTTACAGCCCACCACGTTACAGCCCACCGCGTTACAGTCCACCGCGTTACAGCCCACCACGTTACAGCCCACCGCGTTACCGCCCGCTACGCCAAGCCACAGCCTGCCTCGCTACAGCCTGCCATGCTACGCTCTCTCCATTCCGTTACATTCCTTTCCCTTCCTTCCTTTCCTCCTCTCTTCTTCTCCACCCCTCTCTGTGTGTGCAGGCGCTACAGCATGCAGCCATGGCGTGTGGGCGCAAGCTCATCATCGAATGGGTGGCGTCATCTGACCTTGAAGATGCTGCCAAACAAGAGGTATGCTTGCAGCCCCTGCCCTCCCCTGTGCAGCCCCTGCCCTCCCCTGTGCAGCCCCTGCCTTCCTATACACCCCTACCCGCCCCTTCGACTGCAAGCAGCAGATCCAAAAGTCACACCCTCTCACACCCCCTCTCCCCTCCTCCCCCTTCTCAACTCATGGTCACGTGCATTTCCAACGCTAGTACGGCCGAGAGCTGTGTGCTGCCAGCTTCCAATCCCTCTGCTGCCCTCAATACCACTCCCACCAATTCCAATCCCTCTGCTGCCCTCAATACCACTCCCACCAATTCCAATCCCTCTGCTGCCCTCAATACCACTCCCACCAATTCAAATCCCTCTGCTGCCCTCAATACCACTCCCACCAATACCAATCCCTCTGCTGCCCTCAATACCACTCCCACCAATTCCAATCCCTCTGCTGCCCTCAATACCACTCCCACCAATTCCAATCCCTCTGCTGCCCTCAATACCACTCCCACCAATTCCAATCCCTCTGCTGCCCTCAATACCACTCCCACCAATACCAATCCCTCTGCTGCCCTCAATACCACTCCCACCAATACCAATCCCTCTGCTGCCCTCAATACCACTCCCACCAATACCAATCCCTCTGCTGCCCTCAATACCACTCCCACCAATACCAATCCCTCTGCTGCCCTCAATACCACTCCCACCAATACCAATCCCTCTGCTGCCCTCAATACCACTCCCACCAATACCAATCCCTCTGCTGCCCTCAATACCACTCCCACCAATACCAATCCCTCTGCTGCCCTCAATACCACTCCCACCAATTCCAATCCCTCTGCTGCCCTCAATACCACTCCCACCAATTCCAATCCCTCTGCTGCCCTCAATACCACTCCCACCAATACCAATCCCTCTGCTGCCCTCAATACCACTCCCACCAATACCAATCCCTCTGCTGCCCTCAATACCACTCCCACCAATACCAATCCCTCTGCTGCCCTCAATACCACTCCCACCAATACCAATCCCTCTGCTGCCCTCAATACCACTCCCACCAATACCAATCCCTCTGCTGCCCTCAATACCACTCCCACCAATACCAATCCCTCTGCTGCCCTCAATACCACTCCCACCAATACCAATCCCTCTGCTGCCCTCAATACCACTCCCACCAATACCAATCCCTCTGCTGCCCTCAATACCACTCCCACCAATACCAATCCCTCTGCTGCCCTCAATACCACTCCCACCAATACCAATCCCTCTGCTGCCCTCAATACCACTCCCACCAATACCAATCCCTCTGCTGCCCTCAATACCACTCCCACCAATACCAATCCCTCTGCTGCCCTCAATACCACTCCCACCAATACCAATCCCTCTGCTGCCCTCAATACCACTCCCACCAATACCAATCCCTCTGCTGCCCTCAATACCACTCCCACCAATACCAATCCCTCTGCTGCCCTCAATACCACTCCCACCAATACCAATCCCTCTGCTGCCCTCAATACCACTCCCACCAATACCAATCCCTCTGCTGCCCTCAATACCACTCCCACCAATACCAATCCCTCTGCTGCCCTCAATACCACTCCCACCAATACCAATCCCTCTGCTGCCCTCAATACCACTCCCACCAATACCAATCCCTCTGCTGCCCTCAATACCACTCCCACCAATACCAATCCCTCTGCTGCCCTCAATACCACTCCCACCAATACCAATCCCTCTGCTGCCCTCAATACCACTCCCACCAATACCAACCAATCCCTCTGCTGCCCTCAATACCACTCCCGCCAATACCAATCCCGTGCAACTATCTCTCCATTCAGATGGTTTTTTCCCATGTTTGGACCGAATGGAGAAACCATGCAATGCAACTAACCATTCTCCATTCCATACCTCCTCCTGTCCTATGTGGTCCCCCCTACATGCGCCCACCAGAGTCCAGACCTGTACAATGAAGCCTGGGCAGCCTTGAAGGTGAGCGTTTGCACACTCACAAGGCATTTAACATGCCACCACATGTCATGCCGTGCCATGCCATGCCATGCCAACCCCATGCCCCGCCAGCCGTGTCATCAAGGCGAGGCCGTGAAAAAACGTTACGATTTGCTGTGCTTGGACCGAATGTTTGAAACCATGAGGTTCAGCAGTCCCTACTTTTTTCTGCTCACCTCATTCCCACCTTCAATTAACCCAGGGATACCCCTTACAAGCTCAACTTGTTCTCATTGGATGTCGAATGTATGGCACTGATGACTTTTGAGTCGACTCAAAAGTCAAAGATACCCCTTACAAGCTCAACTTGTTCTCATTGGATGTCGAATGTATGGCACTGATGACTTTTGAGTCGACTCAAAAGTCAAAGATACCCCTTACAAGCTCAACTTGTTCTCATTGGATGTCGAATGTATGGCACTGATGACTTTTGAGTCGACTCAAAAGTCAAAGATACCCCTTACAAGCTCAACTTGTTCTCATTGGATGTCGAATGTATGGCACTGATGACTTTTGAGTCGACTCAAAAGTCAAAGATACCCCTTACAAGCTCAACTTGTTCCCATTGGATGTCGAATGTATGGCACTCATTGTTCTCAACTTTTGATCGCCACTCACCACCAATGCGTCTGCGCCTCATCGTTTGTGTCCTTCTCATCCTTCTCATGACCTTGCAAATGACCATGTGTCTCCTCATCATTTTGCTGTGCTTGTGCGCAGAGAGCGGATGGGGTGTTGGTGCCGGGTGGCTTTGGAGACCGAGGCGTGGAAGGAAAGATTCTCGCAGCAAACTACGCCCGAACCAACCGCGTGCCGTACCTGGGGATCTGCCTCGGCATGCAGATCGCCGTCATTGAGTACGCCCGGAATGTAAGCAAGCAAGCACCTCAATGTTCCTCTTACGCCCCAGGTGTGCTGCTGTTTTTTAGCCGCCTAAAAATAGTCATTGAGTATGTCAGGAATGTAAGCACCGGGGGATGGTAGTGCATGCAGTGCACCAGTGTTCCTCCTAAGCACCAGTACGTTCCCCTAAGCATTGGTGTTCCTCCCAAGCACCAATGTTTCTATTTAATTACTGGTATTCCTTCTACGCTTCTGCCCTCTTGCCTGCCTGCCTCCCTGCACTCCCCCTCCCCCCCTCTTCAGGTGCTGGGGCGTGCAAAAGCGAGCAGCACGGAGTTTGACCCGGCATCACCGCACCCGTGCATTGTCTTCATGCCTGAGGTCTCTCAGACCCACATGGCATCATGATTCATACCCCACTGCCTGCACACCCCTCACCGCCCCCCATCCACCCTCCCTATCCTCAGGTGCTGGGGCATGCAAAGGCGAGCAGCACCGAGTTCGACCCAGCATCACCGCACCCGTGCATCGTCTTCATGCCTGAGGTGTCCAAGACCCACATGGGCGCCACCATGCGCCTGGGAGCACGAGACACTGTCCTCCACTCGCCAGACTGCCTTGCTGCCAAGCTGTGAGTAGCACCCTGCTGCCCCCTATTGTACCCTGCTGCACCCTACTTCCCTTCCCTGTGCGTGTCTCGGGCTCCAAGACCCACATGGGTGCCACCATGCGCCTCGGTGCGCGAGACACCGTCCTCCACTCGCCAGACTGCCTGGCTGTCAAGCTGTGAGCCCTCCCTGATTTTGAACCTGCTATACCCCTGTTATCAGCCATTGTATTCACGCACGCCAATGTTATCACGTTGCATCGTAATGAACCCCCTATGCTTCCACCCATCCGCCCACCAGGTATGGCACGAGCAGCAGTGTGAGTGAGCGGCACCGGCATCGTTACGAGGTGAACCCCGACCTGATCGACGAGTTTGAAGCGGCTGGACTTCAATTCGTCGGCCGGGACGAGTCCGGGCGGCGCATGGAGGTAAGCAATGCTCCTGGGCATGCAGGTGGGCTTAGTGATAAACCTGAGCTGGGCTGAGCTGAGCTGAGTACACATTCAAATGAGCTGACTTCTGGGGCGCCTCAAAACCCCCCACAACAATTCGTGAGGCGCCTCAAAAGGCATGAGGGCATGCTCCTTGGCATGCAGGTGGGCTTAATTGTAAAGCGAGAGTACACATTGGAATGAGCTGGTTGTGGGAGAATTTTCGGCGAGCATTGACAAAAACAGTCTGTCTGCTTGAGAGAAATCCCTTTTCCGTGCTCCAACACTAAAAAGTGCCTTGGCAAACTGGTGGCATGGCAAGTGATAACCTTTGCACCAGCCGGACTGAATGTGTACGATAGCACTCTGATTTGATGCTGCAGGGGTTGGCAAAGAGGATACCGATACTACCCTTTCCTCCCACCCTTCTCTCCTCCTACCTACCCCTCTTTCTCATCCGCGTCAACTATACCTACTGTTTAACCGCTAGCCTTTCTTCGAATCAGATTCCGTTCCAACTGCCTTACACCACTCTCTGCTTCTGCCCTTCCACCCCTGTTCGTCTCCTCCCCTCTCGGCCGTCAGATCCTGGAGATTCCATCTCATCCGTACTTCCTGGCCGTCCAATACCACCCAGAGTTCAAGTCCAGACCAGGGAGGCCGTCCCCTGTCTTCCAAGGTATGCCCTCCCATCCTCTTTATCTCGGTCCTCTTTGTCCCCATCATTATGATATCTTTTCTTCCAAGGTATGCCCTCTGATCCTCTTCGTCCCAATTCTCTCATTTTGACTTCCAAGCTATATCCTCCGATCCTTTTAATCCCCGCCCTCTAAGACAATGCCCTTACAAGTCACAGAACCTAACTACCTCTTTAGTCTCACCAGCTACACCAATCCGCCTATCTTGCGCGTCATCACACCGTACTTGCATTCCTCCCTTCTCGTTCTCTTCCATTTTTCCTTGCCCTTCTTGAACCATCTCTTCCCACCAGGCCTAATCCTTGCAGCTTCAGGCCAGCTGCAAAGCTACCTCGATTCCCTCTGACGCCAATGAGCATTCCTTCTTGACTCGTACCTCAAGGTCCGAGGCCATGGGACAGAGGCGTGGTGTGGTTGTGCCGCAACCTAGTGCGTAGCATAGCATGGTTACCCTACCGTACGGTTGCTGCTGCAGTTGCTACCTCTGCAGTTAGCACAGCCAAAAGAGAGTGCAAATTCTGTGGTTTAGTCAGTGCGAAAGCCAGGCTGCTGGCCCTTGCTGGACAACCCCCAAAAATAAATGCTTGCAGTTAAAGAAAAAAATGCCTGCAGCTTGGGGGAATCAGGCTGTCATGTGCCGACAGTCAACCAATGTTGAGGCATCCCAGCAAACCGCTTTCAAGGAAATGAGAATTTGTGTGACATTGTGGGAAGGGAACACATGCATGACATTGGCTTGTTGCAAACTGCACTTGGCTTTTGGGCCTTCCATACGTCAATTCACCACATACCATACCATTTTCTTGGGATTGGGGTATCGCCTCAAATCAGCTGAGTGGAGTGGCACAATTTCAGTGGAGCAGAATACTGTGCCGTGCACTAGCTTAGATCAAGATATCCAAGCTGCATGACTGGGTGCACTTTATTACAAGGTCAGGAGAGCACAAGCAATATCAAGATCCTCCCAGCAGCAGGGTTTGATCACATGACCTCATCGCAAGCCTGCATCCAGCTCTCCCCTCTGGACCGCCAAGCACGGCCTCTTCCATTTCACAAGGGGCACAGATCCCACAGAGGTCCCTGCTCCCGTCTTGACCCCCATAGATCGGAGAGCACGCGCGTAGATATCAGCATGAGAGTCGTACACACTCCCTCCTCCCCCAGGGCTCGATCTCTTGAGAATCTCGTTGCACTGCTGCATCAAGCCGTCCCTTCTTGAACCCGACTGGTCCGAGAGACCTCGCGTCGCTGCATGCTGAGTTGCCCCTGCTGCTGTTGCTCCTGCTCCTCTGAGCACTTGCTGTGTTGGTGTAGCTGCTGCTGCTGCTGCTGCTGCTGCTGCTGCTGCTGCTGCTGCTGCTGCTGCTGCTGCTGCTGCTGCTGCTGCTGCTAATGGTACCGTTGCCACGGTCACCCATGCTGTCTGATCGCCTACCGCCCTTGAAGCAAACTCTGCCGGTCCTGCCGTCGTCGCTGCTGCTCCTCCTGCTGCCCCCCTTGTCACTTGCTGTTGCCGCAGGAGAGACCTGCTTCCAGAGGGGGTGACGTCGTTGCAGCTCCAATTTCTGCGAGGCTTTGGAGGAGTGCTCGCGCTTTTCATGCTTCCGCTACTCCCCCTTGGATTTAAAAAGATTGGATCCAGAGACAGTATCCTTGAGTTCAATGTCTCCTTCTTCAAACTCCCGCCATTCACGCTCCCGCCATTCACGCTCCCACCATTCAACCCTGCCGCATATCCACCCGCAAACGCTGTGGCAAGGCACGAGGACCACACGTCAGGCGACCATGTGACTTCAGACGATGCCAACTCACGAATCCACTGTGATTTCTCCACACCCGCGCTGCGCCCACCGCGGCCTGAAGCACCATGATCATCATAAGCCTCCACACCACCCGGAAGCTCCAAAATGGCGCCGTGAACGGCGCTGCCCGTGATCGTCGCAACCGTGGGGCTTCTGTGTCGGAAGGGCCGCTCGCGCCGCCGGCCACTGTCCGCATGATGCTCATCGGAATTCTCAAGTTGAGACGATGGAATTGGCGTTGGCGCGTTTGTCGAGTCGTCATGCGGCTGGCCACGCGCCGCGCTACCTGATAATGTTACTGGGCCGTGGTCGTTGCATGTTGCGTTATTACGTAATCCGCAATGATTCGATGGCGCCACGATTTGCGCCGCCGCAGCCGCCGCCGCCGCTGCGGTAACGGCTTCCAGTGCGCGGCCTGCACCCAATGTGATCTGGTAGCGTTCCGTAAACCTCGCAAAGGGATCCTCCGCGCCGCGTGCCGCTTGGACGAGAGGAGAACCTTCGTGACTCAGCCACGCCGCGCCGGGAAGACTGACGGTTGCGGGGACAACAGTTCTCGTAGTAGTAGCACCATGATAACCACCGCCGCCGGAAGCGGTTTGCTGATCAATCTGGGGGGAACGGGTTGTGCCTGGGGCTGTTTCTCGACCCCTCACAGCGCCGGTAGTCTGCGCGAATTCCGCCAACGTCCCTACGTTGCCAGAACGCGCCGCGAAATCTGCCTCAATGTTTCTCTTTCTTATTGATGCGGCGGGTTCGAGTTCGACGCCTTGTCGACGTGGATTTCGTTTGTTATTACCGAGGACACCGAGAGAGAGTGAGAGTGTCAGATCGACGCCACCTTCGCCGCTCCGTGCGCCGTCTGATGCGGCGTTGTTCGCGGAAATCGGAGGCTCTTCGATGGAAGACAACACAGCAATATCTGACGACCGAAGGAGAGCGTCGGATGCGGGTTCGAGTGTCGCTAAGCCAGCGTGACGCATTCGTTTGGACGGAGGTCCGTAGGTAACGTACTTGACAGCGCAATCCATCGAGAGAAAGGAGTTACAACCGTCCGAACACGACGTGATAGACGGAAGTGACTGTGCTTGTGCTGTGCAAGCAAATTGGACAAGGAATGGTGTGCTTCGGTGTTTGTTCGGTTGGAGCAGCAAAACGTGGGCTTTGGTACAGAAGTTGGAATTGCTGACTGTGAAATGCTGAACAGCAGCACTGATGACGAAGATTGAATTAGCATTTCCAATTTACAATGCACGCCTTTCCGGCAGCGACGCAGTGGGAACCGACATGTTTTGTGACGGGCTAGACGGTCAAAAACAAACTTGTGATGTACACATGCCATGTTTTATATCTCATACTTCCAACCTTTGTTACACGCTATGGTTGATAAAAAGAATGTAGAATCCACTGACACTGGGTCAGAAGAACACCTGACAATTCCGTTTCCAACTTTGCAAGGCAAGCATGGCCCAGAAGCGGAGGCCCAGATCGCGACACCGTGACCCTGGAGAAGTGGGATAAAATTTCGCTGCATGGGTGGCACGGTCCTATTGGTTGACTTGCGCGTGGCAGCAATGGTGTCAACAGTCCACGCACTTGCAATCGGAGCGTTCTTGGGGGGTGACCTCAGCATTCTGGAAATTGGAACGACCAACTGTGGCAGTGCTTTGACCTGAGGACCGCTGCTGTGACAGTGCTATGGTTGGCAAGCTGCGTCTGATTTATCCGCACGAGCGAAGGGAGTGAGGTTGGAAACAAGCACGCCTGGCCTGATATTTCGCGGAACCCAGCACAGACAAGAACGGTTGCGTCCGTTGGGAACAAGGCTGCACATTGGTGTGCATTCAATGAGGGCCATGGTGGAGCTGAACGCTTTTAATGTCAAACGAGGTCACCCTTCCAGCCTCGTGAAAATAATTATCCTCTAATTCTGAGATTTTCTCATAACGAGCGCCGAGAAATGTAGCAGTAGGAATGCCACCTTGCTCAGAAATGGTATTAGTGAGCCAGGTTTCTGCTATGCAGGTTGTGGTATGTGGTAGTCAAGAATGCCACCTAGCTCAAAACTGGTATTAGTGAGCCAGGTTTCTGCTATGCAGGTTTTGGTATTGTTACAATTCCCTTGCAAACCCTTGACAGACAAGTTAGCATTCGAAGCCCTCAACACGAAGTAGGCCTGAGCAGAAGGTTCTAAGATCTTTACACCTGGGAGTTCAGCCGACCCAAGTTTAGAGCCTTGGCTTCAATGCTCCAGACAAAACGTAAGTACGGTTAGTACAGCCGAAATACTTTACAACTCGTATGTTCTGTTTGATAAACGTTCACAATTGCCAGGGGTTGAACTTTGTTTGTTTGAGTTTCAAACAGTCACTAGACTGCGCCAAGTCTGCGAACACCTCTGTGCGAACACAGTTGGTTCAGAAATAAATAACCATCTCCGAGTCTACGGAAATGGGGCGTTTACACATACCCGTGAAAATTAGGTATATCTCGACCTGACACCCTAGAGAACAACTTGCTTTCTTGACTGTCCAGACCAGATTCTCCAACACAGCTGCAGCTTACAGCTCAGCGACGGGGTCTCGAATCTGAGATTTGTGACGTCACAGAATGTAGCTGCATGGGTAGCCTGTCAGTGAATTCGCGCCGCGACGCCCTACAATGGGATTTGACGATCCGACCGGACCAGATACACGGACGGTGAAAAAGGGTGCCCACAACAGCTGTTTCATTATTCCGAAACGAAGCTTTCCTCGATATTGCATATCCGCGCTTGTAGGCGACACAAACCAGCAGTGTTAGCCCTTATGACAACAAATGGTCGTTGTCCATTCATCCAGGGTCCATTGTACCAGTAGAAATCTGGTTTTCTTGTCATACTTTCTCTCCTGTGTTTGTCTTCTCGTTAGAGTTCTTTATTATGAGGCAACATAACACACTACACATTCATACAGAAGAAGCAACACAACAGAACACACTAGCCCCGAATGCCAACCATCATGTGATCGGAATCATAAGGAAAGCAGAGAGCCGCAACGACCAGCGGGAGGCAGGCAGGATCGTACTACCCCTGTCAACCTGGATTACCAGAATGACTCTTTGCTCTCCCTATGATTCATTCCAACGAGCCACATGATAGCCACCACTGCGGCTGAACCTACTCAAACCACTTCCCACTACACTATTCCCCACTCCCACCTCCCCCCTTAACCCCCTCCCTTTCCAACCCCCTTTTCACCCGACCTTCACCCTTACTTGTCCCCCCACACCCCCCTTTCCCGTCTGCACCCCCCTCCCCCCCACCCCACCCCCCTCACCTAGGGATTGTCGTAGGAGACCTAATCCCATCGCAAGAATCATGTCATCAGGTTCACACTTTTTTTTCCGGTGATCGCCCGCCAAGCGGAATGATCACCTAGAGATCCCACAGGGTGAACTCCGAAAGCTGCTGAAACGCCCCGGCGCCAGGCCCCTCATAGGAGTCCAGGCAACCCTGGGCTGTAGCCGCTACAGCCGGCACGGCGTCATCCATCATGGCTACGCCATCGCAGAAGCCAGTATGATTGCCCAACATGAGCATGCGTCCATGCTCCATCGCCAGCTCGCTTTCATACTCCTCCATCATCCCCATGTCAGTCATCACCGGCATATCCATTCCCATCCCCATCATCATCAGGTCGGTTTGGGGTGTCTCCTGCAGCAGCGAAGGCATGCAGTCCAGCTCGCAATCGCCGTCCAGCCAGAAGGAGAATGCGGAGCGAGCGGTGGAGCCATCCACGTCAGCATCAGCGTCGGGACCTGCAATGCTGCCCTCTAGAATCGACTGCAGGCTGTCGTCGCCGTCGTCGCTACCAGAGAAGCTATTGCAAGGCCTGGTGCTCTTCTCACTGCCCGATTCACTGCTCTTCCCCCCATCCACTCCAGCAAGCAGCGGCTTCAATGCCGCTTCCAGGTCGCTCTTCTGCAACCCCCCAGCATCGCTCTCCACCGCTCCAGACTCCTCTGCACCATCACCAACCGGCTCCTCGACCCACTCTCCAGCCACGAACCTTCTAGCAGCCGCCCCACCAGTCACCTCCACCATTCCCCCCACGCCCTCCACAGCCTTAAGCACCGCTGCCAGCTCAGCAATGGCGTCCTCCGCGCCCTGCCACGTGGCGCACCCACGGGCCGCCGCCAGCAGCGCGTCGGCTGTAGCGGCCGGCATCAGCACGGGGAGGAGAGCCGGGGGGGTCTTGTCAGAAGAGCCTTCCGTCATCCCGGCTGTAGCATCGTCATTGCCTGCACCAACTGCATCGCCTGCAGCGGCTGTAGCGGCCGGGCGGCAGGGCTTGTCCTTGGGCGGCGGAGGCGGCGGGGGGAAGTTGAGCTGCGCTTTGGGCCCGCGGAGAAGCCAGGCGGCCATGTCATACACGCGAGCGGCGTCCTCCCACGAGTCAAACGACCCCAGCCAGATGCGCGACCGCCGGCTCGGCTCTCGAATCTCCGTCACCCACTTGCCCCACCGCCGCTGCCGCACGCCCTTGTACACCGCCCAGCCGCCCTGCGCGCCGGACGCGCCCAACGCAGCCGCTGCTGCGGCCGCACTGGTAGCCACATCTGCCGCTGTGATGGTTGGCGCAGAGATCTCAGAGTCAGTGCTCTCCGCAGCAGCGCTTCCACTTCCTCCTCCGCCGCTGCCACATCCGCCGCTGCCGCTGCCGCTGCCGCTGTCCGCAGCAGACCCGGAGCGTTTGCAGTGCTTGCTCGCTCGGTTTTCGCCGCCGCGTGACTTGCGCCCAACACTCAGCGCCCGACCACTGCCACTGCCAGTGGCAGTCGCAGTCGCGACCTGCGGCTTCTCTCCCCCTACAACCGCCGCCGCCGCCGTTTTGCTCCGCTTATTTCCCGTGCCTGACCCGCGCGGTCGTCCGCGGCGCCGTTTCTCCCCTAGAGGCGCGGGGCTGGCAGGAGTTCCGCTGGGAGCGGGCGCAGCAGCGCCGCCAAATCCGCGGAAAGCCGCCAGCGCGGCCGGCGCCAGCGGGGGCGACGCGAACGGAACCCCTGGGGGCGGCAGCATGTGGAACCCCGCCGCGAATGCCGGCGGTACGGGAATCACGGGGCTCCACATGCTGCCGCCTCCTGATAGAGCAGCAGCAGCACCCATCGCGCCGCCGCCACCGGCGCCGCAGCTCGCGGCGCGATTATCGTGTGAAATGAAATGCGGTGGTAGAAAGTAGCGGCCAGAAGCGCCTGGAACCGCATTCGACCCAGGGACAAACCCGGATACTCCGGCGTGGAAGGGTGCTGCCGCTGAAGCCGGCGACGCGCTGGCAGGCGGCCTGCCTGCCAGGCCAAGAGCGGCGGGATATGCGGCGGAATACGCGGCGTGGATTGGACGAGTGGTTGCTCCGTTGTTCACGGCGCGAGTCACTGCAGTTACTGGGGGTTGATCGCCGCGGGTCAAGTCGTCTCGGGCTCCCCGCGATCGCCGGCGGAGCTGGAGCTGCTTGCGCTTCGCCACGTGGACGGCCTGCACGAGCCCCGCTATGGCGGTCTGCGCCGACGAGATGGCCTCCTCTAATGCCGCCTCGTTGGTCCCGTCAATCGCGGCGGAAAGGGCGGAAGGCGTGGACGAATGAGCTGAATCCATTGATGAGATGTTTCGTTCGAATGGAAGGCTGATGGTAAGCTGCGGGAGGGCGGACGGGGCGGAGGGCGCGGACGGGGCGGAGGGGGCGGAAGGGGCGAAAGGGGCGGAAGGGGCGGAAGGGGCGGAAGGGGCGGAGGGAAGGATTCCCGGGATGCACGTCGACGGCTGATGGCTGATAGCCGTATGGTAGAGTGCTCAACCTTGGGTCGACGCGAGTCGGACGCGAGTCAGCGCAATGACCGCTGCTTCAAAGCACTTCCCCCGTACTAGGGCCTATTCCGCGTCTCGCACTGAAGTCCACCGAAGGCTACTAATCAACTTTGAAGCTTGAAGCATTGAGCGCACTCGAGCGAGTAGTATTGTTCGGCGACGGACGTCATATGATCTGATATTCCCCCTTCGGCAATGACATACTCTTACGTAGATTCGACGATCACGTTGCGTCAACAGGTTAGTAGGGGGTAGGTCCCATCGTCAGTACCCGTTAGCGCGCGCCCGGCTCAGCCAACGAGAGGCTAGCTTTGCGTCACGCACGATCGACGAAGCGAATGAGAAGCGAGACGGAAACCTAGGGAGGGTACATCTGCGCAGAAGAGCAAGTACCGAGAGGGGATTCAAGGGCGGGCGGATCTACCGGGAGCGCGTGAGGCGCATTTGCGGGGAAGAGCAGGTGCTAACTGCCGCAGCTGGTTCTCGCAGGTTCTGCTTTGGCGTCGTACGAGGACGCGACCGGGGATTGAGTGGACGGAAACACGGCGCTTAGATCCTAAGCGCGCGGGGAGGGGAAGTTCCCTTCGCCGGGGATTCCTTCTTGCCGTGCTGTCTTGGTTTGCGGAGGAGGGGAGACCTGAACGAAGCTCCACTGGTTGCGGCGAAACCAACGAATTCTTTACTCGAGCGGGCGGGCGGGCGAGCATTCTTGCATCAGTCGAGTCGATCCGCCAAGGCGAGCGGCGGAGCGCGAATCTGCGTCTTTCTTCCCCCCGACCCCGACGGGTCATCGGAACACCGCAGCGCCAGGCGTTACAGCAAATGATTACGCCTCTGCGGAGACAGCTGTTAGCTGGGATGGAGCCAAAAAAGTTGGATCCTGGATGCCAAGCATAGCTGTACGTGTAAGCAGCCACGCTATTCCTCCCGTAGCTCGACCTATTTCTTGCTTCCTTCTCCCGCATCGTGTGTCTCTGCTGCTTCTGGATCAAGCTAGGGCTATGGGTGGATGGAATGTATGTGCGAAAGGTTTGCGAGTGAAGGGTGAATTGCTGAATTTTCAACACCCTCAGTCCAAATCGCACTTTTTCCCGAACCATGCTCGAAAGCTGAATAACCTCAGGACGCGTCACCTGAAGCGGATCGGCCGAAGATCGGCCGATCCGCACCAATCGTCATTTCGAGCCCAGGTCTGGCAGAGATCGGTGCCCATGGCTGCGCAACTACGGCGCACCGATATACAGGTGACAGGTTCGGTAAGGCAGGATTCGAGGTTGTGGTACACCCAACCTGCGAAAACAACTCTGTTGTCGTGCGCAAATTCGCACAGAAAACCCCACTGTTTGTGACGTCGTGCAGTTACAATGCAACTACGAGCGAAGACAATCGATCTTGACTGTCACTCGTGGCTCGAAATTCCACACTACGCCACCCAATCTCACGATCGATTTGTGCACTTCGATATATCGATCGGGGCTCCAGTAGGTGACAGGGTCGTGTGCACATGTTTACTGTACATTCGTAAACTTTGGCGACGTTGGTTACCTTGTTGATTACGACGCTACAGTTCTACACACGCGCGCAAAACCGATCTTCCAGCCGATCGATCCGCTTCAGGTGACGCGTCCTCAGTTGAGGGTGTGCATAAGAGCCGCAATTTCATTGCCCTTTCCAATACAAAACAGCTGTCAGGGTTATTTTTAAAACTGGAGTCCCAAACAGGCCAAAACTGCCTCAAACTTCCTAACTTTGGTTGGGTGTGACCCAGTAGATACTGACTCAAACTTCCTAACTTCGAAACCCTTCGGGAAAATTTTCGTCACGCGAAATTACTGGGCGATAGCAGTGACGATTTCGTAAACAGATTTCGCGCCCATCCGAAATTATTTGCGAACGAATCTTGACGTTGCATTCCAGATCTGGTTACACTCGCGAGGTTTTCATACTTCGCGACCCATAACCACCGATTTCGACAACACCTTGGTTCGCGAGCCAGTCACGTTTCCAGAGGAACTGACGGGTCCCCCCCCCCACATCACTATCCCCCCTCACAAAAGATCCCGCCTTCCCTCCCGAATGTTGCATGCGCAGCGCACCATTCGCGAAGTCCCATCCGCGCCAAACGAAGGCAAGTTGCGCGGGGCTTTGCTGGCCGGCGTGGCAGCCACCAGCTGGCGCTCGGCTCGTGGATTCCTCGTGTTGAGCGTGCGGGGTGCGAGTTGGGTGCAGGGGGCACGCACAGTGCAAGAAGAAGCTGCCACAAATTGATGAGAAATCGCTCCGAACGTTGAAAGAACCTTCCTATCAAGCTGTCCGTGCAAGCTTTGGGGCAGAGTTTTTGCTAAATATCCTTCATACACCTGGTCCGCGGTATTTTAACCGCGCGAAAATGGGTAGCAGGATTTTGGAATATCTGGCCGTGGTGAAGATAAGGGTGCAAAATTTCGGTCATTATTTTCACCACCAAATATCTGAACAGCATGGAAAGTTTTGACAGCACTACTCAAAAGGAGCAATTCGGCTCTTTTCGCCATCTGGAATGTTCCAGAGTCGGGAAAGTAAAACCATCGACGGTGACGATTCTTTTTGGAAAATTCGGTTGGGGAAATTCGCTTGCCACGTGGACGGCGCCAGCTGAAATATCAAAAAAAGGCTTGGCAATCTACAACTTGGTTCGGTCAAGTGTGGACAGCGATTTCTGGCCACCCAACAAGAAACGCCCAGCGTGCCGACATACTTGGTTACGATACCGGCGGTTAAAATACCGCGGACCAGGTGTACGGCATTGCTTTTGTTCGAATCAAACGGAAAGTTTTTTCCTTTTCCAGTCGTACATTGTTCATAAATATTTGGCTCCATGAATTCCGTTGAACTTCACAGGTTCGCGTTGCTGCGCTGGAAGAAAGCAAATCCGAAGGCACGCTTCTTGGATCTTCCTCATCTGGGTAGACAGACCTGCTGAAACGTCGGGTAGGTTCATCTGGCTTGTTAGCCAAGCTGGAAATGTTTGATCGCCACGTGGAATCCTCATGTGCGCTGGCTTTCGCTTGTGGCGAATCACTCAAGTGATGCGGTACAAGTGGCATCGTTAATTATTTATAACTCCACACATATCCAACAAACATGCTTATGTAATTTGGTTACTGAGTGGACATTTGAAAAAACTTTGATGAAGCGAGATAGCTAAGTTCTTCTAATAAACGATTCAACAAAACAGTGCGTTGCTCTGCTAGAACAACGCGACCAACGCAAAATACAGTGATTCTAGCACATTACTTGGCTCCCAAATGCCACTACCGCGGCCACCGAACGTACCGTACTACCCAACACCACAATCATACGCAACAAACCCAGGTCAAAGAAAAAAGCAGGTCACTAGACACATGGCATGTATGATTCACTTAGGCCCCGTCCTACAGCTGGTTGCGCAAACGGCGAAGCATCACAGATACGTCACTCGCATGGTCGGCCGAGTACCGCTCAAAATGGCGGCGGATCGGGGCTGGAGGAGGGGCAACTTGCCCCACAGGCACATTGAGGTAGGTGTGGAACAGCGCGTGCCACATGTCATGGTTCCAATACCTGCCAGGCACCCACGGCAGCACGCAGCAGGTGAGCAGAGCAGTGGAGAGAAAGCAAAAAAACAAGAATGCAGCAAATTCGCAGTGGGAATGGTCAGAGGGCGACACCAGGAAAGCACAAAGGAATTCTCATCTCACCGTTTGAGGTGGAGCTTTGGGCGATAGTAAGCAGTCTCGGCAGTGCCAGCGTCAGCAGCAATGTGATCAGCACAACCATCCACATCCGCTGCTCCACCGCCGCTGGCAGTATTGCCTCCTTCCCCTGCAGGCACCCTGTCTACCTCCATGTACTGCCCATGCAGCAGACAGTAGGCCGTGGCACAGACCGCATAGAGATCCGCCTGGGTAGGAGCGGCAGCAGAAGGCACACGGAAGGAAAAGAGAGACATAGCAAGGTGTGGGTAGAGAGAGTAGGCCGTGGCACACACTGCATACAGATTAGCCTGCACAGGAGCAGCAGCACAAGGCATGGGACAGAAATAGGGAGCGGCACAACATAGCAAGGTGTGTGTAGAGGTAAGAGCGCAAAGCATGTACGGATGATTGTAAGCGAGAGGGATGTAGGTAGAGTGAGTGTGCACACACATATCAGCACTATATCACACACCAGATAAACACAACGCCACACAGGTACTGCAGCATACGGCACAATCCAACACCACAGCACACAATTTAACACCATACCACACAATCTAAAACCATACCACACAATCTAACACCATACCACACAATCTAACACCATACCACACAATCTAACACCATACCACACAATCTAACACCATACCACACAATCTAACACCATACCACACAATCTAACACCATACCACACAATCTAACACCATACCACACAATCTAACACCATACCACACAATCTAACACCATACCACACAATCTAAAACCATACCACACAATCTAACACCATACCACACAATCTAACACCATACCACACAATCTAACACCATACCACACAATCTAACACCATACCACACAATCTAACACCATACCACACTATACCACACAGATACCACAGTGTACCACACAGGTACCACACCATACCACAGGTGCCGTACCTGGGTGGTCCGCAGGCGCCCCTCCTCCATCTCTGGGCAGCGGAAGTTGCAAACCACACCATACCACACCATACTACACCATACCACACCATACCACACTGTGCCATACCTGCGTGGTCCACGGGCGCCCCTCCACCATCTCAGGGCACCGGAAGTTCTCCGTGCCGCCGTCAGAGACAAAAGAGGAACCTTCGGGGAACTGCCGCATGTCAATGCTGCGCCCGTAATCCACCAGCGTGAGGCCCTGAAGGAGTGGGGAGGAGTGGGGAGGCGTGGGGAGGAGTAGGGTTTGGTGAAGTGGAGTGGAGGATGGGGGAAGGATAGATGGATGGCGAGGATGGACTGGTGGATGAGGGAAGGACGGACTACGAATGGGGTGGCTGAGACAGCGGACAGGGGATAGCAGCAGGGAAGAGGGGATGTTTGGTGGCAGGAGCAAACAGAATACAGAGTTAGAAACTATTTATGAGAACAAGAATTAATTTAGGAGTGAGATTGAAAGTCGAGTAAGTACAAGTCGTACCGTGGAAGGTGCACCGGCCTCGATCGCAGCAACCATCTCCTTGGGGTTCTCACTGTCAGCCCTGCAATGGAAACCCACCCGACAGTAAGATCAAGGCACAATCAGAACAAGGAAACAATGAGGCAGCATACTCTTGAGACGCCCTAGATATTGTCTTGCCATTGGAAAAAGATCGAAGCACACAGAACAAGGAAATCATGTTGCAGCAAGCCGCAAGCAGCACACAGCAACACATACGCGAATCGTAGGAGGAAGTAGCCGGGCTCGATGCCCCCATGCAGGATGTGAGCAGCATGCAGGGCATGCCACTTCTCACTTTACATTTTCCAGAAACACTCACAGAGCAAGCAGCAACAAGCACCGCACAGCACACAACCCGAATCACAGCAGCACATACCCGAATCGCAGAAGGAAGTTGTCGGGCTTGATGTCGCCGTGCAGGATGTGAGACGCATGCAGGGCCTCCACGGCTCGCAGCATCTGCCAAGTGTAGAATGCACACAGGGGCTCCGGGACCGGCTTGCCCTGCTTCTTAAACGCATTCACCACGTCCTGAGAGGGTTGAGAGGAGAGAGATTGGGGGTGGGTGTTGAGGATGAGTGCATGCAGTATGTGCATGATGTGCATGTATGTGCGTGTATTTTCATGCACGTGCATGTATGTGCATGCACGTGCATACTCGGCCTCCATCCATCCTGGCACGGTGAATCCGCCATCCATCTTAAAAGGTGGCGAGTGCGAACAGGAAGCCATATATTCTCTCACCCCTCATCCCCACCGCCCACACCAATTCAGGATGTGTTGAATGGGTTCAAGAAGCAGGGCAAGCCAGTGCCAGAGAAGCTATGCATGCAAGTACGTGCACATACATGCACACACATGCACATACATGCACATACATGCACACACATGCACACACATGTACATACATGCACACACATGCACATACATGCACACACATGCACACACATGCACATACATGCACATACATGCACATACATGCACATACATGCACATACATGCACATACATGCACATATACGCACACACATGCACACACATGCACACACATGCACACACATGCACATACATGCACACACATGCACATACATGCACACACATGCACATATACGCACACACATGCACACACATGCACACACATGCACATACATGCACATACATGCACATATACGCACACACATGCACACACATGCACACACATGCACATACATGCACACACATGCACATACATGCACATACATGCACATACACGCACACACATGCACACACATGCACACACATGCACACACATGCACACACATGCACATACATGCACACACATGCACATACATGCACACACATGCACATACATGCACATATACGCACAAGCATGCACATACATGCACATATACGCACAAGCATGCACACACATACACATACATGCACATACATGCACATATACGCACAAGCATGCACGCACATGCACACACATGCACACACATGCAAATACACGCACATGCATGCAAATACACGCACATGCATGCCAGCTCACCTGCAGAGCGCCGCTGGTTCCAAGCGCGCATGTGAGGATGGAGGAGTTAGCAATGTGTGGGCGTGAGCACACGCCTCCATTCTCACATGCTCGTTTGGCACATGCCGCTCATGCATATATGCGAGTGTGCAAACGCACGTGTGTGGGCGTGTGAGATCGAGCATGCCTGCACATGCACACACGCGCACGCACAGCTACGCACATGCTCGCACACCCCAGCTCACCTGCAGGGTTCCGTTGGTGCCCAGGGAGCATGTGAGGATGGAAGCATTGGGGAACTCATGGTAAGCTGACGCCGTGCCAAACAGTTGCCGCTGGTAGGGGAGAAGGGGGGGCCAGAGGAGAGGAGGAAGGGGAGGGAGAAGAGAGGGCGGAGGAGGGAAGAAAGGAGAATGGTAAGAGGACACGAGCAGGGGCATCAGGCATGAGTAGTATCAGGGCCAGAACCATTAACCAGAGGAACCAGAGGAACCAAGTGAGGCAAAGGTGCATGGACGAAGGACAGGGACGAAGAAGAGCAATAGCCTAGGCACCTGTGGGCCGTCGATTCGCATGTGGATCTGACGGTAGATGTAGAACTCCCAGGGGCATGGCTTGGAGTGAAGCTGCCACACAAAGCGATGGACGGAGGCATAGAAGAGGCATGGGACAGATTGGAAAACAGCATTCACAGGCACTATGAAACCGAATTGAACCAGCCATGTGTGATGCTGCCATTAAGTTGAAGAAAGAACCCACACGTAGCTGTATCAACTTAATATAATAACAGCATCACACATACAGCTACAGAGCCCACACATTGCCTCTGTAGCTGTATCTGCCGCACATCTACCGATACACAAGGGTAAGACGAAGCGCCACAGTGCTGGAAGGTACCTTGAGGGCCACAGTGCTGGAAGGTACCTTGAGGGCCACAGTGCTGGAAGGTACCTTGAGGGCCACAGTGCTGGAAGGTACCTTGAGGGCCACAGTGCTGGAAGGTACCTTGAGGGCCACAGTGCTGGAAGGTACCTTGAGGGCCACAGTGCTGGAAGGTACCTTGAGGGCCACAGTGCTGGAAGGTACCTTGAGGGCCACAGTGCTGGAAGGTACCTTGAGGGCCACAGTGCGGAACACCACAGTGCTCTCTGTGGCCGCGTCTGCCCCCACACATGTAGCACACCACACAAATACCCCACCACACATGTACCCCACCACACATGTACCCCACCACACATGTACCCCACCACACATGTACCCCACCACACATGTACCCCACCACACAAATTCCCTATCGCAGCACATCTACCCACACACAAGGGCAAGACGAAGCTGCTGCATACCTTGAGGGCCACAGTGCGGAACACCACAGTGCTCTCTGTGGCCGCGTCTGCCCGCCCCACCACACATGTAGCACACCACACAAATACCCCACCACACATCTACCACAGATATACCAAGGGTAAGGCGGAGCTGCTGCATACCTTGAGGGCCACAGTGCGGAACACCACAGTGCTCTCTGTCGCCGCGTCTGCCAACCCAGCAAGGGTCTCTGTGGCCCCATACACCCTTGCGTATGCACCCTTGCCTAACAGCTGATCCACCTCGTAACTCCTCCTGCCTGGAGAGTGGGGTGGGGCAGTAGAGGAGGGAAACCGTTGGCACGTAGCTAGGAAAAGGAGGTGGAAGAATGGCAGCAAGCAAGCAGGCAGAGGGAGAGGAAGGAGCATAGTGGCAACAAGCAAGCAGGCAGAGGGAGAGGAAGGAGCATAGTGGCAACAAGCAAGCAGGCAGAGGGAGAGGAAGGAGCATAGTGGCAACAAGCAAGCAGGCAGAGGGAGAGGAAGGAGCATAGTGGCAACAAGCAAGCAGGCAGAGGGAGAGGAAGGAGCATAGTGGCAACAAGCAAGCAGGCAGAGGGAGAGGAAGGAGCATAGTGGCAACAAGCAAGCAGGCAGAGGGAGAGGAAGGAGCATAGTGGCAACAAGCAAGCAGGCAGAGGGAGAGGAAGGAGCATAGTGGCAACAAGCAAGCAGGCAGAGGGAGAGGAAGGAGCATAGTGGCAACAAGCAAGCAGGCAGAGGGAGAGGAAGGAGCATAGTGGCAACAAGCAAGCAGGCAGAGGGAGAGGAAGGAGCATAGTGGCAACAAGCAAGCAGGCAGAGGGAGAGGAAGGAGCATAGTGGCAACAAGCAAGCAGGCAGAGGGAGAGGAAGGAGCATAGTGGCAACAAGCAAGCAGGCAGAGGGAGAGGAAGGAGCATAGTGGCAACAAGCAAGCAGGCAGAGGGAGAGGAAGGAGCATAGTGGCAACAAGCAAGCAGGCAGAGGGAGAGGAAGGAGCATAGTGGCAACAAGCAAGCAGTCAGAGGGAGAGGAAGGAGCATAGTGGCAACAAGCAAGCAGGCAGAGGGAGAGGAAGGAGCATAGTGGCAACAAGCAAGCAGGCAGAGGGAGAGGAAGGAGCATAGTGGCAACAAGCAAGCAGTCAGAGGGAGAGGAAGGAGCATAGTGGCAACAAGCAAGCAGTCAGAGGGAGAGGAAGGAGCATAGTGGCAACAAGCAAGCAGGCAGAGGGAGAGGAAGGAGCACGGCAGCAGGGGGTGGGGTGCGTACCAAGGCGGAGGTCCACTGGCTCTCCTGCTTTGCCCACCCTCAGTGACTTTTGAGACGTCTCAAAAGGAGCACGGCAGCAGGGGGTGGGGTACGTACCAAGGAGGAGGTCCACCGGCTCTCCTGCTTTGCCTTCCCTGAGCGCCTTGAGCCTGGCCGGCACGTGCAGCGGCTCTGAGTGCCGGTGGTAGCCCTGCAGAGGAGCAGGTGAGGGGTCAGGGAGGGACGGGGCGAGGGAGGGGTGGAAGAAAGCATTTAGGGTACCAGGAGGAATTACGACCACCTTCTCTCCTGCTTTCCCTTCCCTCAGCGCCTTGAGCCTGGCCGGCACGTGCAGCGGCTCTGAGTGCCGGTGGTATCCCTGCATTGCGGTCACCACCGGGCGGAAGTGGGGGGGGGGAAGAGGGGGGGGGGTTGGGGACGGAGGGGAGGGAAGAGGGGGATACATTTACAGCCGGCTGGCACGTGCAGCGGCTCTGAGTGCCGGTGGTAGCCCTGCATGGTTGAGGACGGGAGGGCGTAGAAGGGAGGGGAGGGGAAGCGGGGGATACATTTACAGCCGGCTGGCACGTGCAGCGGGTCCGAGTGCCTGTGGTAGCCTTGGAGAGGAGCAGGTGGGGGGACAGGAAGGGATGAGGGTGAATGAGCCCATGTGATGAAAAGCAGGTTCCTGCAGGTCAACGCAGTGGCATGTGATGAAAAGCAGGCTCTTGGTCCAGCTTGCAAGACAACCCCAACGTCAACCCTGAACATGCTTTGGAGGCTGGGAACGGGCTGGAATCACAGGTTCCGCAGTGACGGGAGGGTGACGGGCGGCGAGGAGAGACGCCCTGAGAGACTTCAGAGCTGCAAGAAACGCAACTCACAAAGCCACCCCAGAAATGCATGAAGGCGAGGAATCGATGGACTCACAGGCTCGGCGGTGAGGGGAGGGTGCAGGGCGGCGAGGAGAGACGCCCTCAGGGACTGGCTCCATGGGTTAACCAGCTGGGGCGGGCCGGCTGGGAAGGCCGGCGCCTGTGGCATGCACAGAGCGGCACAGACGCATCGGGTTCTGTTCACTTTGTGTATGTCATGATATGATATGAGATGATATGATATGATATGATATGATATGGTATGCTATGATATCATATCATATGATATGACATCGTATGTCATGGTATGGTATGAAATGACATGGTATGTCTGAGTGTGATATGCTACGATATGGTACGACACGGTATGATACGGTATGATATGGTCTGATATGGTGACTCACCCTGGAATGCTGGGGAAAGCGCCTGCAGACCACAGTGGGGTCATCCTGTGGACGAGGGTTCAAAGCAAGGAGCAAGTGTTCAGAACAAGGAGGCAACGGTTTTCATTCGTTACTTCAATCCTTGGAAATCTCGTACGGAGTCATGTGTGCGTGCGCATGTGCTTAAAAAACGGATTATAATACGGAATCAGATATAGCAACCAAGCTTCTTGGGTCACGAGCAGTATCATCACAACAGCTCCAGCGGATCCAGAGAGGCAGCAAACCCCTCACTTGCACAGCACAGTGGGGATCAAAGCAGAAACGGAGAAAAGCAAACGGCGATGCAATGCTCACCTGCGCATGCACCGTGCGATCAAAGGAGAGAAAATCCTCATCCACCCTCCCACCACGACAACCAGCATCACCAAAAGCACCACCACCACCACCACCAGCCCCACCAGCAGCCGCATCCTGTCCTCTCTGCTGTTCCAGCATCTGCCTGAAGCCCTGCACCCTCTCCTCCTCCATACCCAACTCACTCAACCCCCCCGTGAGCCCACTCCCCTCCACTTCCTCCTCCCCCTTACTCCCACTCTTCCTCCTCCCACGATTGCCCGCGCCCCTCTCGCCCCCCTCCGCCTCCCCTCCCCTTCCTCCCCCCTCAGCAACCGCACTTGACTGCTCACAACCCCCCCTCCCTGCGTCCTCCCCAGTCGTCTCTTCCCCTGCGTCCTCTCCCCGTCTCGCTTCCCCTGTACCCTCCCCTCCATGCCTGTCACTCCCTGCCTCTGCTCTATCAGATGCAGCTAATGAGCAGTCTGGCGGGCCATCTGCCATTGAAGGCCCTGGGTTTGCTGTGGGATTTGGCGGTGCATTCAAGGTTGAGAGCGGTGTGGCGTGCATGTAGAGCGGTGGGGGCAGGTTCCTGTGGCGCAGCCAGTAGAGATAGCGATGCTCCTCGAAGCAAGTCTCCCGCTCCTGGCATGGCCCTGGGGGAAGGGCACGGAGAAAGTTCAGAGACGTTTCAGATAAGGTATTAAAGTGAGCGTAAGGAAGCATGAGGTGAGCATTAAGAGAGTGGGGGTTAAAGGCAGCGCTGCTCTTCCAAGCTCGTCTCCTGCTCCCGGGATGGCCCTGGGGGGAAATCACGGAGAGAGCCTTAGGAGTGCTGAGATGGATGAGGGAGTGACGCTGTGGGATGTGAAGCCGCAGGTGGCGAGAAATCAAACAGCGGCGAGCGATCAAGCTCGGACAAAAGAACTGTGCTAGAACAGCGGCGGCGAGAAATCAACGGGGGAACAAATGAATTGACCTGCTCTACCTGTGTTTGAAGCACCTGCTGCTTCAGATGAGTCTGTTATTTGAGAATTCTCAAAAAACAGACTCAGAATAAACTGACCTGCGCTACCTGTGTTTGAAGCATCTGCTGCTTCAGACGAGCCCCGACGAGACCCCACCTCGCCCTGCTCTCTGCACGGACAACAGCAGGGAGGGAGTGGGATTACAGACGAGCGAACGACAAAGGAACCAAAGTAAATGCACCCAGGCACTACGCAAAACGCCTGATCCTCCCGGGTCACCTCACCCCATCCACACTCCTCCTCAACCCTCACTCCTCCTTCACACCACACACCTCCACCCTCGCCTGTTGGCACCTCCACAGAGGCACCTCAGAAGCAGACCCCATTGCTCACCTTTCCTGTGCCACCTCTGCATGCCTCTCTTGATCCCCCTGCACCTCCACGCGCGGCTGCAGCACCCTCCTCTTTGGCCCGCCTCCCCCCACCCCCCTGCGCATCCTCCCCGCAGCCGAAGGGCTGTTGAGAGGGAGAACAGGGACATGACAGCAGTCAGTCAGACACATTCCTTCTTTAGGCGTCTCTGTGATACTTTCCTCTTCGCCCCGCCTCCCCCCACCCCCCTGCGCATCCTACTCGCAGCCGAAGGGCTGTTGAGAGTGGGAACGGAGATAGGGGGGGACACCATTAGCAGCAGCAGACAGTGGTGACACGGACAGCGGCAGTCAGGCCAACACACTCTCTTGCCTTCTGACCGGCTGGTCATGTTGTCAAAAGGCCACCATCCAGAGCTGCGGACCGAGGTGTATTTTGAGGCGCCTCAAAAGGCCACCATCCAGAGCTGCGGACAGAGGGAACAGGGTCCGCAGTTAGTCTTATACGTTCTCTAGGCCCCTCAGAAGTCGTTTCTCTAGGCCTGCCACCTCATGTACAGCACAGCACAGTGTGCCATGATTCGTGCCTTGGTCGAGTCGAGCCCATCCAGATAAGGACGTGGCTTTCTTGTGAGTGGTTCTTGTAACGTGTTACCCTGTTACTCCCATCCCACACAACTCGTCACCCCTCCACATTGCACACCTCTTTCACCTCTCTACCTCTCCCTGTTACGCACCTCCGCAGCTCCTCATCCACGAAAATGTTAAGGCTGATCTCCGACCCCGAGTGCAGTGGTTGTTGCGCCCATACACGAACGGCCTTTAAGGGCTCGCACTGGTGGTTACCCTGTTACCTCCATCATCGTACGCACCTCCGCAGCTCCTCATCCATGAAAATGTCAAGGCTGATCTCCGACCCCGAGTGCAGTGGTTGTGCTCATACAGTGGTGGTTACCCTGTTACCGTGCTGCCTCACCCTGTATGCACCTCCTCAGCTCCTCATCCACGAAGATGTCAAGGCTGATCCTCGTCAGACTGATCCTTGTCAGACTGATCCTCGTCAGACTGATCCTCGTCAGGCTGATCCTCGTCAGACTGATCCTCGTCAGACTGATCCTCGTCAGACTGATCCTCGTCAGACTGATCCTCGTCAGACTGATCCTCGTCAGACTGATCCTCGTCAGACTGATCCTCGTCAGACTGTTCCTCAATCCCGAGTGCAGAGTCCCTCTTCCCCGACCCGACGTTATGCACCTCCTCTCCTCTGCAGGGTATGCACCTCTTTCACCTCCCGAAATCTCCCCTCCTCACCCCCTCACCTCTCCATCCCTCACCTCTCCCTGCCACACACCTCCGCAGCTCCTCATCCACGAAAATGCCAAGGCTGATCCCCGACCCCGAGTGCAGTGGTTGTGCCCATTCCCGAACGGCCATTCAGGACTTGCCCTGTTACCATGTTACCTCGACCTCACGCACCTCCGCAGCTCCTCATCCTCGAAGATGTCAATGCTGATCGTCCCCGAGTCAGAGTCCCTCCTCAGCCGTTTGAATGCCTGCAACAACGCACACAATAGCCACGCCTGCGTGAGCCTGGAATGCCAGAGCAGAAAAGAAATGCCTGAGATGCCCCAGCCAGAACTAGGTTTCCCAGTAAGGCCCCATTGAAATCACTTTTGAGAATTCTCAAAAGTGATTTCAGTACGACATGGGCGGATATATTCTGGTCAGCAACGCACCTTTAAAGTGCTGATAATCACACCTGGCATGTGACTAGCGCACCTGAGACCTGTCCCATTCAGACAGCGGAGGGGCGTTCTCATCGGACGGCTCAGTAGGGGGAGCAGCACCCATTCTCTGCGAGTCACGCCGACCGTCCCCACCATTGCTGCTGCCGTCCCCAGTCAAAGCACCACCCTCCACAGCACCACCTCCCACAGCACCACCTCCCACAGCACCACCTCCCACAGCACCACCTCCCACAGCACCACCCTCCACAGCACCACCTCCCACGGCACCACCTCCCACAGCACCACCTCCCACAGCACCACCTCCCACGGCACGATCCTCCTCGAGCGGCGCCCTGCAGCAGCAAGCATAAGGGACTCATCATCAGCATCATCATCATAAGGGACCATGCCGGACCTCCAGGCTGCAGCAACAATGCAGAGCCCCATGTATGAAGTCCGGTTTCATTTCATTGCGGCCAGTGGGAGTCACCAACCGGACATCAGCTTGTGGGAGGCAGACACCAACAGACACCTACAGACACCAACAGACACCGACAGCCACTGACAGACACCGACAGACACCGACAGCCACTGACAGACACCGACAGACACCGAAAGACATTGACAGCCACCTACAGACACCAACAGAAACCAACAGACACCGACAGACACTGACAGACATTGACAGCCACCGACAGACATTGACAGACACCGACAGACACCGACAGACACCGACAGCCACCGACAGACATTGACAGACACCGACAGACACCGACAGCCACCGACAGACACCGACAGACACCGACAGCCACCGACAGACACCTACAGACACCGACAGACACCTACAAGAAGTCAGCAAGTGGGACCCACGAACCTTGCTGCTAACCTCGCTTCTTGAGGCAAGCCCACTGGCCGCTCTGGCTCTCCACCCACGGCTGCTGCTGGCTCATCTGCCAAACGAACCAATCAGGCCACAGCATTACACAGTCAGTCAGTCAACTCCAAGAATGGATAAAAGAAAACAACACGAGCTACAAAGTGACGGGGAAAGTACCTGCTGGTGGGTTAGCTGGCGCCGACAAGCCGATCCTGAATGCTTGTTCGTGTATTGAGTCGACTAAAAAAAGAACAAGCTAGAAAGTGACGGGGAAAGCACCGGTACCTGCTGATGGGTTAGCTGGCGCAGACAAGCCGATCCTGGATGCTTGGTTCGCTCCCTCTCTTCCACTGACCAGCCTCGCATGCTCTTGCTCCTTCTGCACACGCACACCACCGTGACGAGAAGACTTTGAGTGACCAACGCTTTAAGAGTCCTACCCCACGTCTTTTCAGGCATGGTGATCCTCAAGACATCGCCAGCAGAGCAATTCTACTCGAGAGAGCAAGGCCGCGCAGTGCTGCCTCGGATGTGAGAAGCCTCGGAATATACACATACCCGCTGCTGCTTGCGCAGACTCCGCTTGGCCATTCGTTTGCGAAACCCGTCGTACGCCTTCTGGAGCAGCTCCTGAGACTTTTCCTCTATGCACCTACAAACATGTGGGGGAAAGGGAAGGGGAAGAGGGGGAGGGGGAAGGGAGGAATGGAAGCCGTGGTGAGATGCCGTCGTTTTACCAAGGAAGGAAACACTTCTGACGCATTCCTTGGACATAACGAAACCTCTCCTGCACTGCACTGCACTGCACTGCACTGCACCTACCATCTAAAGACCTTGAGAACTTCAAATCATAACGTCGCAACAAAACTCGCCATCTTGCTTCCTCCTTGACTCCGTCTCGTGCCTGCGCTGAGACGCACGAGGCGCACGAGACGTGCTCACCTCTCGAGGCCTCTCCGTAAACCTTGGTGGCCTGTCCAAACTCATGCTTGCTGTATAGAACCTATTTTCTAAGGCGCCCGAAAGATCCCTTGAGCCGCGCTCACCTTTTGACTCCACTCCTGTACATCCCATTGGCACGCACAAGGAAATACCTTCTCTCCATAACCTACTTTTGAGGCGCCTAAGAAATCGTTTCAGACGCGCTCACCTCTTGAAGCCTCTCCCGTAGACCGCGTTAGCCTGCTTAAAGTCATGCAAATGCTCCAGAACCGAGGCTAGTCCTTCGTAATACAGATTGTGGCTCAACCCGATGCCCTCTTCCTTCAGAAGAGAAAAGACCTTGAGAGGGTCCCCTGTTAGGCCCGCCTGCGAGAACACCAAGAACAGGAGAGAGGGCACGCGAATAGTCACCACAAGGGATTTGAATTCTTAATTGACACCTGACGAAACCGTGACTGTTGGGTTGAGAGGCGGAAGAGGGACGAGCTACATACATATCCGTACCCTACTTGCGTAATGAGTACATCTATCCAGGCTTACTTACATACTGAATCCATATCCGTAGCCTTAAAAGATATTGAAGCCATATCCGTATCCTTACTTACATATCGAATCCATATCCGTAGGTACCGAATATCGTTCTTGTACTCCTCGCGCCTCAGAAAGGTATCAGCGCAGCTTTTGAGAATGCCGAACAGCTCCGAATTATCTCCGCTCGTTTCTGACCAAGAAATTTCCAACTTAATGTACCTGCATACGTAGGAAAACGACTTTAAGCAAATGTAACTTCTGCGAAGAAAAGCGAAGAAACCGCGGGTGCGTCTAGTGCTGAAAAACGACGAAAACTAAATGTAGTTGATAGTTCCTCTGGTTTCTAACCTGTCCCACGGATCTAAAGGATCGTCGCCGTTGTAATTCCTGATCTCCTCGAGGAGCGACCTGCAACCAGGTCACGTGATTTTTTAATAACGAGCATTTGCGTCTCATCAGATTCCTACGACAAACGACGAGGCGAAACTTCCGCGAAGAGCATCTTGTGCGAGGTGTCCTAACCTTTTTTCGCTCTCATAGTCCTCCTCGATGTCGCCGCTGTTGACATCTAGGGCCTCTTTCGCGGCGGCGTCCCTGGTTCGTGGCTCGATGTTCTCTTTCGCAGCGTCCCTGGTTCGTGGCCCGATGTTCTCCTTCGCGAGCTGCCAATCCATGCCGAATCTAGAAATCAACTATGTTACGCCGGGAGTATCGTCGAGTGGTAGTACGACAAGCTCTAAGTCGGGAATATAAAAAAAGCTATAATAGACGCACCATAAGTAGACGGGAATTACTAGTACCCGCCAGGCAGGAATATAGACGCTAATTTCGAGGAACTAGCAAACTAACGTGTGTCGTAGTACGATCAACAGCTACCAGATAAGAAACGGCAACTAAGCTTACATCGACTAAAAAGGGACTCGTACTTTTCAGAAACGAACTAATTTTCAAAAGCCGAATCTGCCTGGAGACAACTTCAAGTTGGAAGTCAAACGAACCAAGCCTCCAGCTTGTCAGAGAGTTGGGATGAGGGAGTTGCCAAGGGGTGGCTGGCAGGTTTCGCGCTTGTGCTGGTTGTGACAATGAAGGGGGGAAGTGTTGCTACTTTGTGAGTCGAGGGAATGAGTTCAACGCACCGCGTAAATTCAATTTTCGCGCCTATTTGTGTCAGGAGGTTGGCCAGTCGAAGTCAGGTGATAAACCTTGATATCGCTCACATTCGTTATCACTATGAGTACCACCCAAAGACAAATTGATATCATAGCAAGTAGGTGGGTCAACGCATTATCTAGATACAAAGCAAAAACAATTTGCGTTTTTTTTGTGCACATGGTATTTTCTCAATATTTCCTTATCGATTATTAGTACAGCACACTCAGACAGTGCGCACTTGCTATATCATAAGGCCTTGATATATAGAACATGTACGGTAATTACAAAATCAAGAAGCCATGTTGTATCAGCATTTAGTTGTGACGAACATGATAGTATGACTCATCACCTTGCAAAATTACCCCCTAGTTTTGGCAAGCAAGCTTCTCGTTCGGTGCCCAGGCTTACCGAAAGGTGACGTTTCGGTCCTCCAAAGGTCGGAGCCAGCCCATTCATTCAAGTCCCAAGCTTGGTTGGGAAGCTGAATCCCCGACGGGGCAATGCTGCTCAAGCAGGTGCGTGCCGAGGCGAACCCAAGCCCTTTTTATCACGAGAATCGCGTGTGCCCATATTCAACAACTGGGAATGACCCCGTTCTTGGGGTGCAAAAACCTGGGTGACTGGGTCGGATGGCGAGGGTATGAGAATCAAGCCCAAATCGGTGAGTGACGCACTGTGGTACGCCGCGGCACCGCGTTTGCCGGGAATGTGGCCGCACTTGACAGCACATCCATCTTGCCACTGTTGCATGCAAGCCAAGTGACTTCTCTCTCGACTCGATGGCGCCCCCACCAAGCCAGCAACTTGGGTGTCAAACGCGTTCAGCTGGGACCTGGGGAATGTTGCACACACATGAGAAATTTACAAGGCCTTGTTTGTCTCACAATGACGTCAAGAATGGAAAGGGCGTGTTCCAGATTCAGCAATCGCAGTTTGGCGTTCAAGTGTGCGTGGTCTGTTTGACCGTTCTGGTACTGCAGCCGCCGTTAGCATCAAGCTGCAAACCAGATGAACAACCGTACAAAGAAACACTCCTAAGGAAGCTGTAATAAATTTAGGAGGTCACAGATGCAGGGCTGTAGTAAGCGCGGCAGGCGATGACGCGTCTCCCACAAAGCATCTGTGCAAGGACGCTCTCGCTTAGCTGGCAGCAGATGTTCCAGGTGGCTCGACTTTGATCCTATTTTGTACTGTATGCGTTTACTGACAGGTAGTATTGCTGAGACTCGAAAAGGGCAGGGGCGGTCAGCCACCGGAAATTGGAAACACATCCTCACCCCACAATTCTGTAATATCCCAGCGCCCCGCGGAACCAACCGCTGGCCCGGCATGGCATGTCCTGCTCTCCAACTGCTGCTTCCAAACCCCTGATGCATTTGGTTCGTGGCCCACCCGCCAACGAATACTGGTGAAACTCACCGACACTCTTGCCATCCGAATCTGTCAGAGAAGCAGGCGTGTACGAACTTGTAGCTGATTCTGCATGTAGTGTATCCTTGAATATTTAGGCTGGGAACGTTCGTGTTATTTCGGGCAGATAAAGGTCCTATGTTACGCATCCAAACGTTGCAAATGGGAAGGAAAATGTAATTCAACAAACTCTTGGTTTGTCAATGAAACCAGAAAATGTGTGTAAGTGGGTGGATGAGGAAAACCCGAAGCCCAACATTTTTTTTGGCGCAGCAACATAGCCTTCTCAGTCTGGATTCTATTCGAAGACAAGGGCGGTGTTGTCCGTAGATCTCAGGCGTTGTTGAAAACTCACGAGGCTTGAGCAGTCCGAATATTGTATTTTCCTACCTCATCCTCCTGCCCGTGCTTGCTCCCCCGCGCCTTCCTACCTCATCCTTCCTGCACACCTGTCCTTCCCCAGCATCCCTCAACTCCAACTTCCGCCATCCATCTTCCGCCAAGCAATCACACCAGCCACTGTCCAATTTCTAGGTTTATTGAAAAACCCATTTCCTTGCCACTCTGACTTCAAGCCCAACCAAAATCGTTGTTGCACTTCGGAAAAAAGAGACAGAAGACAGCACACCAACACATCACAGCTATGCAACCCCAATCTTATTCATGCACCTCCGCTCCTTCGCTTCGGAGTAGTGATTGGTTCTGAAGTTCACGCACAAGCACCCGCCAAAACCGTCCGTTCTTTGACATCTCCATCAGTCGGACAACGGCATTTCAAAAGTCTCAGCCGCGCCACTCAGCCTTTCATTTTTGTGTTTCTTCGTCTCGGATCATGCTTGTGCTTCAACCTACTACTTAGTGACGGCTCCAATCTCAGCTAACGCTGGCACTGCTATCAAGTACGTTCGACAGGTCGACATGTTCAGACGAGTTGGCTGATCGATTTTATCAGTAAAGAAAAAAATGCTTGATTAAATACTAGTTATCAACAGAGACGAAATTAAGCCTGGTCCCACCGTTTGCAGAAATATGATGCGCTACTACGTGGAATAAACTGGTCGTCCCCTGCTCCATCCCGCTATTTTGCGACCAAACGAGTTTCCGGCTGACAAAAACATTCAACAAGAATTCGTTAGGATCGGGATCCAGTCTCCTGCTTCTGGCCCTCTTATTTTCCGATCGTATGAAACCCAGATCTATACATCGAGTCGCTGCTCTCAAGTCACATCTCAGCACCCCCCCCCCATCCGTCTCCACGGCCATTCCGTGTCTCTCTATAGTACCCTCACCACACGGTCTTTCCCTGTCCTTTAAAGTGTTGTTTTCTCCTTTTATGTGTATTTCTTCGCACAAAGTTCCTTGATTTGGTCTAGCCCTTTCTGCTATCCACCCTTCCTCCCCCCGGGCCCCACGTTGTGGTGTCATTCAGTTCTTACATGTGTTGGGTAAAGATCTCCCCTACCATTCCTCCAACGCTGCGCTCCCCCACCCTCTTTCCTATACCCCCCCCCCCCTCCCCCCCCCCCCCTCCCCCCCCCTTTTTTTGTTTTTTCTAGAAGGCTATGTTCCCACATGGGCTTTCCTGCCATTCTCTCCACATTGCCGCTCCTTGATCCCCACCACTACCTACGTTGACAGAAGCCCCCAGGCCTCCACTATCCACTCCTGCCACTGCCTCTTATCATGCCTTTATTCATACCATTTGCCTTTCCTTGACCCCACCAATACCTACGTTGACAGAAGCCCCCAGATCTCTTCTATCCACTCCTGTCGCTCTCATCATGTACTTTTCATGGCATTTGCCTCTTGTCCCCCATCTCTACCTACGTTGACAGACGCCCAAGGCCTTCACTATCCACTCCTGCCTCTTACATCTCATCATGCCTTTTTCATGCCATTCTCCCCACATTGCCTCTCCTGACCCGCACCTCTACCTACGTCGACAGAAGCCCCAGACCTCCACTATCCACTCCTGCTTCTACCTCTCACTCTCCACTACAGAAGCCCCAGACCTCCACTCCATTTTTCATGCCATTCTCCCCACATTGCCTCTCCTTGACCCCCACCACTACCTGCGTCGGCAGAAGCCCCAACCACCCCTGCCTCCATCGGTCATGCTTTCTTAAAGTCACCCCCCTCATCGCCTCGCTCTGACCTAGCTGACAGATATCTGGCATTCTTTCCTGATGTCATCCCCTCACGTCGCCTCTCCCCGTGACCTCCACACCCTGTGTTGACCTCCACTCCCTGTGTTGACCTCCACTCCCTGTGTTGACCTCCACTCCCTGTGTTGACCTCCACTCCCTGTGTTGACCTCCACTCCCTGTGTTGACCTCCACTCCCTGTGTTGACCTCCACTCCCTGTGTTGACCTCCACTCCCTGTGTTGACCTCCACTCCCTGTGTTGACCTCCACTCCCTGTGTTGACCTCCACTCCCTGTGTAGACCTCCACTCCCTGTGTTGACCTCCACTCCCTGTGTTGACCTCCACTCCCTGTGTTGACCTCCACTCCCTGTGTTGACCTCCACTCCCTGTGTAGACCTCCACTCCCTGTGTTGACCTCCACTCCCTGTGTTGACCTCCACTCCCTGTGTTGACCTCCACTCCCTGTGTTGACCTCCACTCCCTGTGTTGACCTCCACTCCTTGTGTTGACCTCCACTCCCTGTGTTGACCTCCACTCCCTGTGTTGACCTCCACTCCCTGTGTAGACCTCCACTCCCTGTGTTGACCTCCACTCCCTGTGTAGACCTCCACTCCCTGTGTTGACCTCCACTCCCTGTGTTGACCTCCACTCCCTGTGTTGACCTCCACTCCCTGTGTTGACCTCCACTCCCTGTGTTGACCTCCACTCCCTGTGTTGACCTCCACTCCCTGTGTTGACCTCCACTCCCTGTGTTGACCTCCACTCCCTGTGTTGACCTCCACTCCCTGTGTTGACCTCCACTCCCTGTGTAGACCTCCACTCCCTGTGTTGACCTCCACTCCCTGTGTTGACCTCCACTCCCTGTGTTGACCTCCACTCCCTGTGTTGACCTCCACTCCCTGTGTTGACCTCCACTCCTTGTGTTGACCTCCACTCCCTGTGTTGACCTCCACTCCCTGTGTTGACCTCCACTCCCTGTGTAGACCTCCACTCCCTGTGTTGACCTCCACTCCCTGTGTAGACCTCCACTCCCTGTGTTGACCTCCACTCCCTGTGTTGACCTCCACTCCCTGTGTTGACCTCCACTCCCTGTGTTGACCTCCACTCCCTGTGTTGACCTCCACTCCCTGTGTTGACCTCCACTCCCTGTGTTGACCTCCACTCCCTGTGTTGACCTCCACTCCCTGTGTTGACCTCCACTCCCTGTGTTGACCTCCACTCCCTGTGTAGACCTCCACTCCCTGTGTTGACCTCCACTCCCTGTGTTGACCTCCACTCCCTGTGTTGACCTCCACTCCCTGTGTTGACCTCCACTCCCTGTGTTGACCTCCACTCCCTGTGTTGACCTCCACTCCCTGTGTTGACCTCCACTCCCTGTGTTGACCTCCACTCCCTGTGTAGGCCTCCACTCCCTGTGTTGACCTCCACTCCCTGTGTAGACCTCCACTCCCTGTGTTGACCTCCACTCCCTGTGTTGACCTCCACTCCCTGTGTTGACCTCCACTCCCTGTGTTGACCTCCACTCCCTGTGTTGACCTCCATTCCCTGTGTAGACCTCCACTCCCTGTGTAGACCTCCACTCCCTGTGTAGACAGAAACCCCGAGCCTGCCCTAACCATTCCTGGCTCCACGGATGCACTTCTGAACATACCCTCTTGATGCTATTCCTTTCGCACTGTCTCTCCACGTCCCTATCCATTACCATTGTGGACTGACACCCCATACCTCAGCCAAACACTCCTGGCTCCACCCATAGATTCCTGGCCGTACCATCTTGATGCAGCTCCCCTCGCGCTGTCCCCTCACCCCCAACCACTATCTATGTTGTCTGAGTACATCCATCAACCAATCGCTTCTGTCTCCACATATAGATCCGTTGAATATACCTTCTTGACGCTAATCCCCTCTTTTCTCTCCTCCTCCTCCTCCTCCTCCTCCTCCTCCTCCTCCTCCTCCTCCTCCTCCTCCTCCTCCTCCTCCTCCTCCTCCTCCTCCTCCTCCACTACCACCAATGTAAATGCCCAGACCTCCACGTGTGATGCCGCCTCTCCTCTTCCCCAACAAGTACCTGCAATGGAAGAAATTCCAGACCTGCTCTCATCATTCTTCTCTACTATTCAATCCCCCCCACGTTGTTTCTTCAGTCTTCAACCACTAACTGCCTCAGCAAAAGCCACCGCTCAGCACCACCCGCTCTCGTGCGCCCCCCCCACCTCTTTCCGCTCCGTTTCAAGTATTTCATGCTCGATTGTCCCCCACATTTTCTCTCCTTCCCATTGATTGTTACTTTTCGCAGAGGATCTAGATTCCCCCACTTCTTCCTGGCGCAATGGCGGACAACGAGGGCCCATGGAACAACCAATGGCACTTGCTGCAGCAGAGCCAGCAGCAAGCGGAGGAGCAGCAATGGAAAGGAACGGAGGAGCAGCAGTGGAGGGGAGCGGAGGAGCAGCAATGGCGGCAAGAGGTGCAGCCGCAGTTGTTTGGTCACCTGCTGGGGCATCAGCAATTGGATGGGGATGCTGGGCTGAGGGTAGGAGCAGACTTGGATGTGCAAACGCAACAGCACCAGCACCAACAGCACCCGCAGCAGCAGGAACAACAGCAGCACCAGCAGCAGCACCAGCAGCACCAGCAGCAGCAAGAGCAGCAGCAGCAGCAGTGGTTCTCAAGAAACCCAAGTATGGAGGAGCAAGCAGGAAGCGCCGCTGCAGGCCTGCTAGCATCCGCACCCATTCTGGACCACTCACTCGATCAATCCCCCTCCAAAGTCCTCAACTTCCTGTCTCAGAATCACAACCACATGGCTGCAGGCGCCTCTGGGTGGAGCTCTTCCCCCGCAGGGGGGATAGAAAGAGGCTCGGGATCCACAGCACCAGCTGCACTAGCGGCACCAGCAGCAGCACGAGCAGCTGCAGCAGCATCAGCATCAAGACCAGCGCTGCCGGCGTTATCTGCGGTGTCAGCAGCGGCAGCAGCATCGGCATCAGCAGCAGGTGGTGCTGGTACTGGTGCTGGTGCTGGTACTGGTGCTGGTGCTGGTGCTGGTGCGTCAAGAGCATTGGTCGTGCGAGAAGACAACACCAACGCCCTCTCTGTTCATCCCCAGACACTCCTCCCCGCAGCCGGCGGCACCCCCCCGAACCACCTCAAATCGAATTCCGACTCCAAATCCCTCTCCGGAGGCTCGGGAACGGCCCAGCCTGCCGAGCCTGACTCGGGGAACGCGGCGACCAGCGCCAAGCCTGCGTCGAACAGCTGCGGCGGCGACCCGAAGCTGTTCCGGGGAGTGCGGCAGCGGCACGAGGGCCGGTGGGTGGCCGAGATTCGCTACCCTAAAAAGCGTTCCCGTGTATGGCTTGGCACCTTCAACACCCCGGAAGAAGCAGCTAGAGCGTACGATCGCGCTGCTGTGAAGCTACGAGGGCCCAAGGCACGGACCAACTTCCCCCACCCGGCTCTGGCGGAATGGCAGCCTTTGCCTGGGTATGTTGGGGTGGAGAAGGCGATTAGTGAAGCGAGGGAGAGGGGTGGCGGGGATGTGGGTGCGGCAGGGGTGGCTGGGTGGGTTCAGGGGTCAGGGTTTAACGCTACTGGGAGCTCTGTAGGCGGCCAGGGGAGGCAGGTTCAGGTGGTGGTGTCTGGTGGGGGTGGTGGTGCAGGAGGGGGGTTGGTGGGTGGTGGGGCAGGGGGGATTGTGGGGGGACAGGCAGAGGTAGGTGGGGGTGTGGGAGGTGGTGGGTCGTTTGGTGGGCTGCTGGAAGGGCAGGGAGGAGGCGGTAGTGGTGATGGTGGTATCGCTGGTGGCGGTGTTGGTGGGGGTGTTGGTGGGGGGATGAGAGGACACGTGGGTGGGCTGGATCATAACACTCTGCAGCAGCTGCAGTCGCTGGGACTTCCGCCGGCTGTTGTGGGTGCTTTGCAGCAGCAACACCAGTTACAGCAACAGCAACAGCAGCAGCAACAGCAGCAGGTGCAACGCCAACAACAGCACCAACACCAACAGCAGCAGCAGCAGCAGCTGCAGCAGATTATGGGGGCGCTGGGCAACCCAGGAGCAGCAGCGGCAGCAGGAGGAGGAGGAGGAGGAGGAGGAGGAGGAGGGGCAGCAGCAAGAGGGCTAGATGCAGGGGGAGGAGGAGGAGGAAGCGCAGCAGCAAACGTAGGACCATCATCATTAGCAGCAACAGCAGCAACGGCAGCAGCAGCGGGACCAGCCATACAGAGAGCCCTGCTGGAGCTGCTGGTTGCGAATGCAGGCGGGGCAGGTGGGGCAGGCGGGGCGGGCGGGTCGGGCAGTGGAGTGTCTGAGCGGATTCTCATGCTGTCGCTGCAGCGGCAGCTTGAAGCTCAGCAGCGCCAACAGATGCTGCAGGCCCTGGCTCAGGCGCAAGGGGCCCAGGGAGGGGGCTTGGGGCAGGGCCATGGGGAGAGCTTGGGGCAGGCGGGAGGCGTGGGGCAGGGGCACGGAGGAGGAACTGGGCAAGGAGGCATAGGGCAGAGGGAATTGGGGCAGCAGCAAATGTTTGGGCAGCAACAAGGACTCGGACAGGAGATTTCCGGGCATGCTAACATGCAGCAGGGTTTGGGGCAGGCGAGTTCTATTCTGCAGGGGCTTGTACAGGGGCAGGTGCAAGGACAGGTGCAAGGGCAGGGGCATGGGCAAGGGCAGAGAGTAGGGCAGCTGGAGAATCAGGTGAAGAGAGCTAGAAGGGGGGATTCGAACGGATCTGAGGAGTCGTCAACCGGGGTCAGTGGTTCTGGCAGTGCTGCTAAGGGCGCTGCTGCTGCTGGTACTGGTAGCGCTGGTGGTGGTGGTGGTGGTGCGGGTGGTGGTGGTGGCGGTGGTGGTGGTGGTGCGGCTAGTGTGGGGAATGTAGCAGCTGCAGCAGCAGGATTATCCACTGGAGGGTGGTCTGATGGAGGGCTTGCTGGGGGAGGTGGCAACTGGCAAGGGGGAGGTGGGAACCCGGCTCTGCTGCAGCAGCTTTCCAGTCAGGCGTTTTCTCCCGCTGCAGGCTCCTTGGGATCTCTGCAGCATCAGCAGCATCAGCAGCACCAGCAGTCCCCCAGGCAACGGGTGCAGACCCAGCAGCAGGTGCAGGGTCAGCATCAGCAGCAGCAGCAGGGACAGGGACAGCAGAAAGGGCAGAGTCAGCAGGCGTCTCAGCATCAGCAGTTGACTGAGTCTCACCTGCTGCAGGCCAGTCAGCAGTTACAGCTGCAGCAAAACTCGTTTCTGAACCAGCAGCAACAGCAGCAACAGCAGCAACAGCACCAGCAACAGCACCAGCAACAGCAGCAGCAGCCCCGGCAGCAGCAGCAGCAACAACAACAGCAGCAGCAGTTGCAGCAGTTGCAGCAGTTGCAGCTAGCGCAGCTGCTGCAGCTGCAGCAGCAACTGCCGCAGAGTGAGCAGAACCAACAGCAGCACCAGCTGCTGGCAGCATTCCTGCAGCAGCATGGAAGCAGCACGTTTGCTGGCAGCAGCAATGCTGGCGGTGATGGTGCTTCTGGTGCTGCTGGTGGCAACGGGGGAGCCATAATGGATCAGCTGTTTCTGCAGCAGGCGAGACCAAAATAAACGCTCGCTCATCCACCAACCCTCCTCACTAGCATTCGCCCTACTTCCCTCCCTTTCACCCACCTTCCATTCTAATCCTTAACCGTTCGCGTCACAGGCTCACAGCTCTCAAGTTCCCTTTCCTCGCTGCAGCGTTGACCAGGATACTGACAAGTCCGTGCAACCCCTGAAGCACTTCTGCTGGATACATCACAGGCTCGCCTCCCTGCAACGTTGCCTAGAAAGCTGCTGAGGCATCTCGGCCCGTAGAGCCTTTCAGCTGGATAGATCACAGGCTCGTCTCACTGCAACGTGGTGCCCAGGATGCTGCAAAGTCCGCTCAGCTTTTGGAGCCCTCTGGCTGAATATGTCACAACCTCGCATGTCTTTGAGACGTCTCGGATTCGTGGAGGGGTCTTGCTGCACCAGATCATGGCACGAATCTGGAGAAACAAGTGTGAAGAGTGCGGAAAGAGGGCATGTCTGTGTGCTGATCAATGCAAAGCTGCGGATGAATGTAACGGAGATTATCAATGCAAAGCGGCTGCTGATGATTGATCAATGCCAAGGAAATGACCAACGCGAAAGTGGTGATTAAGTGGGGAGGCAATTGGTTTCAGAATCCCAAAAGCCACCAGCAGAAGCTAATGGGTCTGACGGATTGATGCAAGGGATGTGAGCGTGAGACGCAGATGGGATGGGATGGGATGGGGTGGGATGGGATTAAGTGGGGTGGGATAGGGTGGGATGAGATGGGACGGGATGGGATGAGATACGATCGGAGGATGGGATGGGATGAGATGTGGAAGGATGGAATGGGACGGGAGGGAATCGGATGGGGAAGAATGGGATGGGGAAGAATGGGATGGGGGGAGGATGGGGAAATGGGTAAGGATAGGATGGGAAAGGATGGGATGGGAAACGATGGAATGGGGTGGGGAAAGGAGGACTGCAATCTTGCGTGCCTGAGAAGAGGGGCTGTGAACGGGAGTGAAGAGCTGCACCTGCCGTGACTCACGGGTCGACCCAATAGGGACTTCAACCTCGCGTGCCTGGAAGGAGGGTCTGTCTCTCAACAGAAGTCTCGTCACAGGAGCTGAGAGCTGCACCTGCTGTGACCTTTGAGGCGCACTTGCTGTCACTCACTAGTGGCTTCAACCTCTCGTGCCGGACAGAAGGGTCTGTCTCTCAACAGGAGATTCGAGCTGCGCCTACCATGCAAGCACTAGGTGTTCGAGAAACCCCAAATCCCTCTACTCCATCCCTGAGAAACCCCTCAACTGCGTGCTTGAGAAAGGGCTGCGGCAGACTAACAGACTGACTCTACGGGCCGCCTTTACAGGGCAGCTTCACCGGACGATCTGACGGGGTGGCTTCACTCAGCACAAGGAGGGCCGCTGATCCAACAACGGGTAGATCCAAGAGTAGCTCGTCAGGCGCCCCAAAACTCACAGCAGGCACAAGGAGGCAGCTGCATGAGAACCTCAACGTCCACATCTGTTGTGGGGGCGGGTGGAGGGCTCGTTGCGACTCAAGGGCATGGGCAGGGGTCCAGATTCGAGACGTGCTGGGGTGCTGTGGCGGAAGGAGTGGGTCGAGCAGGCTGCTACAGTGGAAGGAGTCGGGCGAGCAGGCTGCTACAGCAGCAGGAGTGGGGCGAGCATGCTGGTACAGTGACAGGGGTGGGACTCCCGGAACCAGGGTGGTCTCTGAGTCGACTCAAGTGAAGGGCTGTTGCGTCGTCTCAGTGGCACTGACCCAGGTAAAAGTTGAGGGAGCCGTTGCAGAGGCAGTAGTGGGGCAAGCAGGCGGCAGCAACAGCAGAGAGATGTGGAGGTCACAAGCAGAGGCAGCAGTGGCAGCAGTGGCAGGAGGTGAGCTGGCGCAGCAGTGGCAGCAGTGGCAGGAGGTGAGCTGGCGCAGCAGTGGCAGCAGTGGCAGGAGGTGAGCTGGCGCAGCAGTGGCAGGAGGTACGGGCTTACCTAGAGTGGACTTTCTCCAGCTGGTCTAGATGGGGTCGTGGTGGAGGGTGGTGGAGGGTGGTGGAGGAGGGCGGTGGTGGAGGGGGGTGGAGGAGTTTAGATAGGAGCGTCAATAAGAGCGTGAGTACGCTCTGTTAGGAGCATAGATAGGACTTCTGACAGGGTGCAGTGGCTGACATATGTAGAGAGCGGGAAGCAGCGTGGGGGTGTGTGTGAGAGCTGGAACACTAATTGCTCGACATTCGTGCATTCTTGTAACGCAATTTAGCTGCATAAAGTCACGTAGCCCGTTCTCCCTCACCCCCCCACTGTGATACCTTTCAACCCACCCGTCTCTATTCGCCTTCATTTTTCCTAAATCTCCCTCGCCCTTGCGCCAGATCAACCCCACAATGACTGGCCAAACTCGCAGTACCCCATTCTCCCTCAGTCTCCATCGTTCTCCTTCATTCTCCGGCAGTCTCCATCGATCTCCTTCATTCTCCCTCAGTCTCCATCGTTCTCCTTCATTCTCCCGCAGTCTCCATCGTTCTCCTTCATTCTCCCTCAGTCTCCATCGTTCTCCTTCATTCTCCCTCAGTCTCCATCGTTCTCCTTCATTCTCCGGCAGTCTCCATCGATCTCCTTCATTCTCCCTCAGTCTCCATCGTTCTCCTTCATTCTCCCCCAGTCTCCATCGTTCTCCTTCATTCTCCCTCAGTCTCCATCGTTCTCCTTCATTCTCCCGCAGTCTCCATCGTTCTCCTTCATTCTCCCTCAGTCTCCATCGTTCTCCTTCATTCTCCCGCAGTCTCCATCGTTCTCCTTCATTCTCCCTCAGTCTCCATCGTTCTCCTTCATTCTCCCTCAGTCTCCATCGTTCTCCTTCATTCTCCCTCAGTCTCCATCGTTCTCCTTCATTCTCCCTCAGTCTCCATCGTTTTCCTTCATTCTCCCTCAGTCTCCATCGTTCTCCTTCATTCTCCCTCATTCTCCATCGTTCTCCTTCATTCTCCCCCAGTCTCCATCGTTCTCCTTCATTCTCCCTCATTCTCCATCGTTCTCCTTCATTCTCCCTCAGTCTCCATCGTTCTCCTTCATTCTCCCTCAGTCTCCATCGTTCTCCTTCATTCTCCCTCAGTCTCCATCGTTCTCCTTCATTCTCCCTCAGTCTCCATCGTTCTCCTTCATTCTCCCTCAGTCTCCATCGTTCTCCTTCATTCTCCCTCATTCTCCATCGTTCTCCTTCATTCTCCCTCAGTCTCCATCGTTCTCCTTCATTCTCCCTCAGTTTCCATCGTTCTCCTTCATTCTCCCTCAGTCTCCATCGTTCTCCTTCATTCTCCCTCAGTCTCCATCGTTCTCCTTTATTCTCCCTCAGTCTCCATCGTTCTCCTTCATTCTCCCTCAGTTTCCATCGTTCTCCTTCATTCTCCCTCAGTCTCCATCGTTCTCCTTCATTCTCCCTCAGTCTCCATCGTTCTCCTTCATTCTCCCTCAGTCTCCATCGTTCTCCTTCATTCTCCCTCAGTCTCCATCGTTCTCCTTCATTCTCCCTCATTCTCCATCGTTCTCCTTCATTCTCCCCCAGTCTCCATCGTTCTCCTCCATTCTCCCTCAGTCTCCATCGTTCTCCTTCATTCTCCCGCAGTCTCCATCGTTCTCCTTCATTCTCCCGCAGTCTCCATCGTTCTCCTTCATTCTCCTGCAGTCTCCATCGTTCTCCTTCATTCTCCCTCAGTCTCCATCGTTCTCCTTCATTCTCCCTCATTCTCCATCGTTCTCCTTCATTCTCCCTCAGTCTCCATCGTTCTCCTTCATTCTCCCTCAGTCTCCATCGTTCTCCTTCATTCTCCCTCAGTCTCCATCGTTCTCCTTCATTCTCCCTCAGTCTCCATCGTTCTCCTTCATTCTCCCTCAGTCTCCATCGTTCTCCTTCATTCTCCCTCATTCTCCATCGTTCTCCTTCATTCTCCCCCAGTCTCCATCGTTCTCCTCCATTCTCCCTCAGTCTCCATCGTTCTCCTTCATTCTCCCGCAGTCTCCATCGTTCTCCTTCATTCTCCTGCAGTCTCCATCGTTCTCCTTCATTCTCCCGCAGTCTCCATCGTTCTCCTTCATTCTCCCTCAGTCTCCATCGTTCTCCTTCATTCTCCCGCAGTCTCCATCGTTCTCCTTCATTCTCCCTCAGTCTCCATCGTTCTCCTTCATTCTCCCGCAGTCTCCATCGTTCTCCTTCATTCTCCCTCAGTCTCCATCGTTCTCCTTCATTCTCCCTCAGTCTCCATCGTTCTCCTTCATTCTCCCTCAGTCTCCATCGTTCTCCTTCATTCTCCCTCAGTCTCCATCGTTCTCCTTCATTCTCCCTCAGTCTCCATCGTTTTCCTTCATTCTCCCTCAGTCTCCATCGTTCTCCTTCATTCTCCCTCATTCTCCATCGTTCTCCTTCATTCTCCCCCAGTCTCCATCGTTCTCCTTCATTCTCCCTCATTCTCCATCGTTCTCCTTCATTCTCCCCCAGTCTCCATCGTTCTCCTCCATTCTCCCTCAGTTTCCATCGTTCTCCTTCATTCTCCCGCAGTCTCCATCGTTCTCCTTCATTCTCCTGCAGTCTCCATCGTTCTCCTTCATTCTCCCGCAGTCTCCATCGTTCTCCTTCATTCTCCCTCAGTCTCCATCGTTCTCCTTCATTCTCCCGCAGTCTCCATCGTTCTCCTTCATTCTCCCTAAGTCTCCATCGTTCTCCTTCATTCTCCCGCAGTCTCCATCGTTCTCCTTCATTCTCCCTCAGTCTCCATCGTTCTCCTTCATTCTCCCTCAGTCTCCATCGTTCTCCTTCATTCTCCCTCAGTCTCCATCGTTCTCCTTCATTCTCCCTCAGTCTCCATCGTTCTCCTTCATTCTCCCTCAGTCTCCATCGTTTTCCTTCATTCTCCCTCAGTCTCCATCGTTCTCCTTCATTCTCCCTCATTCTCCATCGTTCTCCTTCATTCTCCCCCAGTCTCCATCGTTCTCCTTCATTCTCCCTCATTCTCCATCGTTCTCCTTCATTCTCCCTCAGTCTCCATCGTTCTCCTTCATTCTCCCTCATTCTCCATCGTTCTCCTTCATTCTCCCTCATCGTTCTCCTTCATTCTCCCTCAGTCTCCATCGTTCTCCTTCATTCTCCCTCAGTCTCCATCGTTCTCCTTCATTCTCCCGCAGTCTCCATCGTTCTCCTTCATTCTCCCGCAGTCTCCATCGTTCTCCTTCATTCTCCTGCAGTCTCCATCGTTCTCCTTCATTCTCCCTCAGTCTCCATCGTTCTCCTTCATTCTCCCTCATTCTCCATCGTTCTCCTTCATTCTCCCTCAGTCTCCATCGTTCTCCTTCATTCTCCCTCAGTCTCCATCGTTCTCCTTCATTCTCCCTCAGTCTCCATCGTTCTCCTTCATTCTCCCTCAGTCTCCATCGTTCTCCTTCATTCTCCCTCAGTCTCCATCGTTCTCCTTCATTCTCCCTCATTCTCCATCGTTCTCCTTCATTCTCCCCCAGTCTCCATCGTTCTCCTCCATTCTCCCTCAGTCTCCATCGTTCTCCTTCATTCTCCCGCAGTCTCCATCGTTCTCCTTCATTCTCCTGCAGTCTCCATCGTTCTCCTTCATTCTCCCGCAGTCTCCATCGTTCTCCTTCATTCTCCCTCAGTCTCCATCGTTCTCCTTCATTCTCCCTCATTCTCCATCGTTCTCCTTCATTCTCCCTCAGTCTCCATCGTTCTCCTTCATTCTCCCTCAGTTTCCATCGTTCTCCTTCATTCTCCCTCAGTCTCCATCGTTCTCCTTCATTCTCCCTCAGTCTCCATCGTTCTCCTTTATTCTCCCTCAGTCTCCATCGTTCTCCTTCATTCTCCCTCAGTTTCCATCGTTCTCCTTCATTCTCCCTCAGTCTCCATCGTTCTCCTTCATTCTCCCTCAGTCTCCATCGTTCTCCTTCATTCTCCCTCAGTCTCCATCGTTCTCCTTCATTCTCCCTCAGTCTCCATCGTTCTCCTTCATTCTCCCTCAGTCTCCATCGCTCTCCTTCATTCTCCCCCAGTCTCCATCGTTCTCCTCCATTCTCCCTCAGTCTCCATCGTTCTCCTTCATTCTCCCGCAGTCTCCATCGTTCTCCTTCATTCTCCCGCAGTCTCCATCGTTCTCCTTCATTCTCCTGCAGTCTCCATCGTTCTCCTTCATTCTCCCTCAGTCTCCATCGTTCTCCTTCATTCTCCCTCATTCTCCATCGTTATCCTTCATTCTCCCTCAGTCTCCATCGTTCTCCTTCATTCTCCCTCAGTCTCCATCGTTCTCCTTCATTCTCCCTCAATCTCCATCGTTCTCCTTCATTCTCCCTCAGTCTCCATCGTTCTCCTTCATTCTCCCTCAGTCTCCATCGTTCTCCTTCATTCTCCCTCATTCTCCATCGTTCTCCTTCATTCTCCCCCAGTCTCCATCGTTCTCCTCCATTCTCCCTCAGTCTCCATCGTTCTCCTTCATTCTCCCGCAGTCTCCATCGTTCTCCTTCATTCTCCTGCAGTCTCCATCGTTCTCCTTCATTCTCCCGCAGTCTCCATCGTTCTCCTTCATTCTCCCTCAGTCTCCATCGTTCTCCTTCATTCTCCCTCATTCTCCATCGTTCTCCTTCATTCTCCCTCAGTCTCCATCGTTCTCCTTCATTCTCCCTCAGTCTCCATCGTTCTCCTTCATTCTCCCTCAGTCTCCATCGTTCTCCTTCATTCTCCCTCAGTCTCCATCGTTCTCCTTCATTCTCCCTCAGTCTCCATCGTTCTCCTTCATTCTCCCTCAGTCTCCATCGTTCTCCTTCATTCTCCCCCAGTCTCCATCGTTCTCCTCCATTCTCCCTCAGCCTCCATCGTTCTCCTTCATTCTCCCTCAGTCTCCATCGTTCTCCTTCATTCTCCTGCAGTCTCCATCGTTCTCCTTCATTCTCCCGCAGTCTCCATCGTTCTCCTTCATTCTCCCTCAGTCTCCATCGTTCTCCTTCATTCTCCCTCATTCTCCATCGTTCTCCTTCATTCTCCCTCAGTCTCCATCGTTCTCCTTCATTCTCCCTCAGTCTCCATCGTTCTCCTTCATTCTCCCTCAGTCTCCATCGTTCTCCTTCATTCTCCCTCAGTCTCCATCGTTCTCCTTCATTCTCCCTCAGTCTCCATCGTTCTCCTTCATTCTCCCTCAGTCTCCATCGTTCTCCTTCATTCTCCCTCAGTCTCCATCGTTTTCCTTCATTCTCCCTCAGTCTCCATCGTTCTCCTTCATTCTCCCTCATTCTCCATCGTTCTCCTTCATTCTCCCCCAGTCTCCATCGTTCTCCTTCATTCTCCCTCATTCTCCATCGTTCTCCTTCATTCTCCCTCAGTCTCCATCGTTCTCCTTCATTCTCCCTCAGTCTCCATCGTTCTCCTTCATTCTCCCTCAGTCTCCATCGTTCTCCTTCATTCTCCCTCAGTCTCCATCGTTCTCCTTCATTCTCCCTCATTCTCCATCGTTCTCCTTCATTCTCCCTCAGTCTCCATCGTTCTCCTTCATTCTCCCTCAGTCTCCATCGTTCTCCTTCATTCTCCCTCAGTCTCCATCGTTCTCCTTCATTCTCCCTCAGTCTCCATCGTTCTCCTTTATTCTCCCTCAGTCTCCATCGTTCTCCTTCATTCTCCCTCAGTTTCCATCGTTCTCCTTCATTCTCCCTCAGTCTCCATCGTTCTCCTTCATTCTCCCTCAGTCTCCATCGTTCTCCTTCATTCTCCCTCAGTCTCCATCGTTCTCCTTCATTCTCCCTCAGTCTCCATCGTTCTCCTTCATTCTCCCTCATTCTCCATCGTTCTCCTTCATTCTCCCCCAGTCTCCATCGTTCTCCTCCATTCTCCCTCAGTCTCCATCGTTCTCCTTCATTCTCCCGCAGTCTCCATCGTTCTCCTTCATTCTCCCGCAGTCTCCATCGTTCTCCTTCATTCTCCTGCAGTCTCCATCGTTCTCCTTCATTCTCCCTCAGTCTCCATCGTTCTCCTTCATTCTCCCTCATTCTCCATCGTTCTCCTTCATTCTCCCTCAGTCTCCATCGTTCTCCTTCATTCTCCCTCAGTCTCCATCGTTCTCCTTCATTCTCCCTCAGTCTCCATCGTTCTCCTTCATTCTCCCTCAGTCTCCATCGTTCTCCTTCATTCTCCCTCAGTCTCCATCGTTCTCCTTCATTCTCCCTCATTCTCCATCGTTCTCCTTCATTCTCCCCCAGTCTCCATCGTTCTCCTCCATTCTCCCTCAGTCTCCATCGTTCTCCTTCCTTCTCCCGCAGTCTCCATCGTTCTCCTTCATTCTCCTGCAGTCTCCATCGTTCTCCTTCATTCTCCCGCAGTCTCCATCGTTCTCCTTCATTCTCCCTCAGTCTCCATCGTTCTCCTTCATTCTCCCTCAGTCTCCATCGTTCTCCTTCATTCTCCCCCAGTCTCCATCGTTCTCCTCCATTCTCCCTCAGCCTCCATCGTTCTCCTTCATTCTCCCTCAGTCTCCATCGTTCTCCTTCATTCTCCTGCAGTCTCCATCGTTCTCCTTCATTCTCCCGCAGTCTCCATCGTTCTCCTTCATTCTCCCTCAGTCTCCATCGTTCTCCTTCATTCTCCCGCAGTCTCCATCGTTCTCCTTCATTCTCCCTCAGTCTCCATCGTTCTCCTTCATTCTCCCGCAGTCTCCATCGTTCTCCTTCATTCTCCCTCAGTCTCCATCGTTCTCCTTCATTCTCCCTCAGTCTCCATCGTTCTCCTTCATTCTCCCTCAGTCTCCATCGTTCTCCTTCATTCTCCCTCAGTCTCCATCGTTCTCCTTCATTCTCCCTCAGTCTCCATCGTTTTCCTTCATTCTCCCTCAGTCTCCATCGTTCTCCTTCATTCTCCCTCATTCTCCATCGTTCTCCTTCATTCTCCCCCAGTCTCCATCGTTCTCCTTCATTCTCCCTCATTCTCCATCGTTCTCCTTCATTCTCCCTCAGTCTCCATCGTTCTCCTTCATTCTCCCTCAGTCTCCATCGTTCTCCTTCATTCTCCCTCATTCTCCATCGTTCTCCTTCATTCTCCCCCAGTCTCCATCGTTCTCCTTCATTCTCCCTCATTCTCCATCGTTCTCCTTCATTCTCCCTCAGTCTCCATCGTTCTCCTTCATTCTCCCTCAGTCTCCATCGTTCTCCTTCATTCTCCCTCAGTCTCCATCGTTCTCCTTCATTCTCCCTCAGTCTCCATCGTTCTCCTTCATTCTCCCTCATTCTCCATCGTTCTCCTTCATTCTCCCTCAGTCTCCATCGTTCTCCTTCATTCTCCCTCAGTCTCCATCGTTCTCCTTCATTCTCCCTCAGTCTCCATCGTTCTCCTTCATTCTCCCTCAGTCTCCATCGTTCTCCTTTATTCTCCCTCAGTCTCCATCGTTCTCCTTCATTCTCCCTCAGTTTCCATCGTTCTCCTTCATTCTCCCTCAGTCTCCATCGTTCTCCTTCATTCTCCCTCAGTCTCCATCGTTCTCCTTCATTCTCCCTCAGTCTCCATCGTTCTCCTTCATTCTCCCTCAGTCTCCATCGTTCTCCTTCATTCTCCCTCAGTCTCCATCGTTCTCCTTCATTCTCCCTCATTCTCCATCGTTCTCCTTCATTCTCCCCCAGTCTCCATCGTTCTCCTCCATTCTCCCTCAGTCTCCATCGTTCTCCTTCATTCTCCCGCAGTCTCCATCGTTCTCCTTCATTCTCCCGCAGTCTCCATCGTTCTCCTTCATTCTCCTGCAGTCTCCATCGTTCTCCTTCATTCTCCCTCAGTCTCCATCGTTCTCCTTCATTCTCCCTCATTCTCCATCGTTCTCCTTCATTCTCCCTCAGTCTCCATCGTTCTCCTTCATTCTCCCTCAGTCTCCATCGTTCTCCTTCATTCTCCCTCAGTCTCCATCGTTCTCCTTCATTCTCCCTCAGTCTCCATCGTTCTCCTTCATTCTCCCTCAGTCTCCATCGTTCTCCTTCATTCTCCCTCATTCTCCATCGTTCTCCTTCATTCTCCCCCAGTCTCCATCGTTCTCCTCCATTCTCCCTCAGTCTCCATCGTTCTCCTTCATTCTCCTGCAGTCTCCATCGTTCTCCTTCATTCTCCCGCAGTCTCCATCGTTCTCCTTCATTCTCCCTCAGTCTCCATCGTTCTCCTTCATTCTCCCTCAGTCTCCATCGTTCTCCTTCATTCTCCCCCAGTCTCCATCGTTCTCCTCCATTCTCCCTCAGCCTCCATCGTTCTCCTTCATTCTCCCTCAGTCTCCATCGTTCTCCTTCATTCTCCTGCAGTCTCCATCGTTCTCCTTCATTCTCCCGCAGTCTCCATCGTTCTCCTTCATTCTCCTGCAGTCTCCATCGTTCTCCTTCATTCTCCCGCAGTCTCCATCGTTCTCCTTCATTCTCCCTCAGTCTCCATCGTTCTCCTTCATTCTCCCTCATTCTCCATCGTTCTCCTTCATTCTCCCTCAGTCTCCATCGTTCTCCTTCATTCTCCCTCAGTCTCCATCGTTCTCCTTCATTCTCCCTCAGTCTCCATCGTTCTCCTTCATTCTCCCTCAGTCTCCATCGTTCTCCTTCATTCTCCCTCAGTCTCCATCGTTCTCCTTCATTCTCCCTCAGTCTCCATCGTTCTCCTTCATTCTCCCTCAGTCTCCATCGTTTTCCTTCATTCTCCCTCAGTCTCCATCGTTCTCCTTCATTCTCCCTCATTCTCCATCGTTCTCCTTCATTCTCCCCCAGTCTCCATCGTTCTCCTTCATTCTCCCTCATTCTCCATCGTTCTCCTTCATTCTCCCTCAGTCTCCATCGTTCTCCTTCATTCTCCCTCAGTCTCCATCGTTCTCCTTCATTCTCCCTCAGTCTCCATCGTTCTCCTTCATTCTCCCTCAGTCTCCATCGTTCTCCTTCATTCTCCCTCATTCTCCATCGTTCTCCTTCATTCTCCCTCAGTCTCCATCGTTCTCCTTCATTCTCCCTCAGTCTCCATCGTTCTCCTTCATTCTCCCTCAGTCTCCATCGTTCTCCTTCATTCTCCCTCAGTCTCCATCGTTCTCCTTTATTCTCCCTCAGTCTCCATCGTTCTCCTTCATTCTCCCTCAGTTTCCATCGTTCTCCTTCATTCTCCCTCAGTCTCCATCGTTCTCCTTCATTCTCCCTCAGTCTCCATCGTTCTCCTTCATTCTCCCTCAGTCTCCATCGTTCTCCTTCATTCTCCCTCAGTCTCCATCGTTCTCCTTCATTCTCCCTCATTCTCCATCGTTCTCCTTCATTCTCCCCCAGTCTCCATCGTTCTCCTCCATTCTCCCTCAGTCTCCATCGTTCTCCTTCATTCTCCCGCAGTCTCCATCGTTCTCCTTCATTCTCCCGCAGTCTCCATCGTTCTCCTTCATTCTCCTGCAGTCTCCATCGTTCTCCTTCATTCTCCCTCAGTCTCCATCGTTCTCCTTCATTCTCCCTCATTCTCCATCGTTCTCCTTCATTCTCCCTCAGTCTCCATCGTTCTCCTTCATTCTCCCTCAGTCTCCATCGTTCTCCTTCATTCTCCCTCAGTCTCCATCGTTCTCCTTCATTCTCCCTCAGTCTCCATCGTTCTCCTTCATTCTCCCTCAGTCTCCATCGTTCTCCTTCATTCTCCCTCATTCTCCATCGTTCTCCTTCATTCTCCCCCAGTCTCCATCGTTCTCCTCCATTCTCCCTCAGTCTCCATCGTTCTCCTTCCTTCTCCCGCAGTCTCCATCGTTCTCCTTCATTCTCCTGCAGTCTCCATCGTTCTCCTTCATTCTCCCGCAGTCTCCATCGTTCTCCTTCATTCTCCCTCAGTCTCCATCGTTCTCCTTCATTCTCCCTCAGTCTCCATCGTTCTCCTTCATTCTCCCCCAGTCTCCATCGTTCTCCTCCATTCTCCCTCAGCCTCCATCGTTCTCCTTCATTCTCCCTCAGTCTCCATCGTTCTCCTTCATTCTCCTGCAGTCTCCATCGTTCTCCTTCATTCTCCCGCAGTCTCCATCGTTCTCCTTCATTCTCCCTCAGTCTCCATCGTTCTCCTTCATTCTCCCGCAGTCTCCATCGTTCTCCTTCATTCTCCCTCAGTCTCCATCGTTCTCCTTCATTCTCCCGCAGTCTCCATCGTTCTCCTTCATTCTCCCTCAGTCTCCATCGTTCTCCTTCATTCTCCCTCAGTCTCCATCGTTCTCCTTCATTCTCCCTCAGTCTCCATCGTTCTCCTTCATTCTCCCTCAGTCTCCATCGTTCTCCTTCATTCTCCCTCAGTCTCCATCGTTTTCCTTCATTCTCCCTCAGTCTCCATCGTTCTCCTTCATTCTCCCTCATTCTCCATCGTTCTCCTTCATTCTCCCCCAGTCTCCATCGTTCTCCTTCATTCTCCCTCATTCTCCATCGTTCTCCTTCATTCTCCCTCAGTCTCCATCGTTCTCCTTCATTCTCCCTCAGTCTCCATCGTTCTCCTTCATTCTCCCTCATTCTCCATCGTTCTCCTTCATTCTCCCCCAGTCTCCATCGTTCTCCTTCATTCTCCCTCATTCTCCATCGTTCTCCTTCATTCTCCCTCAGTCTCCATCGTTCTCCTTCATTCTCCCTCAGTCTCCATCGTTCTCCTTCATTCTCCCTCAGTCTCCATCGTTCTCCTTCATTCTCCCTCAGTCTCCATCGTTCTCCTTCATTCTCCCTCATTCTCCATCGTTCTCCTTCATTCTCCCTCAGTCTCCATCGTTCTCCTTCATTCTCCCTCAGTCTCCATCGTTCTCCTTCATTCTCCCTCAGTCTCCATCGTTCTCCTTCATTCTCCCTCAGTCTCCATCGTTCTCCTTTATTCTCCCTCAGTCTCCATCGTTCTCCTTCATTCTCCCTCAGTTTCCATCGTTCTCCTTCATTCTCCCTCAGTCTCCATCGTTCTCCTTCATTCTCCCTCAGTCTCCATCGTTCTCCTTCATTCTCCCTCAGTCTCCATCGTTCTCCTTCATTCTCCCTCAGTCTCCATCGTTCTCCTTCATTCTCCCTCAGTCTCCATCGTTCTCCTTCATTCTCCCTCATTCTCCATCGTTCTCCTTCATTCTCCCCCAGTCTCCATCGTTCTCCTCCATTCTCCCTCAGTCTCCATCGTTCTCCTTCATTCTCCCGCAGTCTCGTTCGTTCTCCTTCATTCTCCCGCAGTCTCCATCGTTCTCCTTCATTCTCCTGCAGTCTCCATCGTTCTCCTTCATTCTCCCTCAGTCTCCATCGTTCTCCTTCATTCTCCCTCATTCTCCATCGTTCTCCTTCATTCTCCCTCAGTCTCCATCGTTCTCCTTCATTCTCCCTCAGTCTCCATCGTTCTCCTTCATTCTCCCTCAGTCTCCATCGTTCTCCTTCATTCTCCCTCAGTCTCCATCGTTCTCCTTCATTCTCCCTCAGTCTCCATCGTTCTCCTTCATTCTCCCTCATTCTCCATCGTTCTCCTTCATTCTCCCCCAGTCTCCATCGTTCTCCTCCATTCTCCCTCAGTCTCCATCGTTCTCCTTCCTTCTCCCGCAGTCTCCATCGTTCTCCTTCATTCTCCTGCAGTCTCCATCGTTCTCCTTCATTCTCCCGCAGTCTCCATCGTTCTCCTTCATTCTCCCTCAGTCTCCATCGTTCTCCTTCATTCTCCCGCAGTCTCCATCGTTCTCCTTCATTCTCCCTCAGTCTCCATCGTTCTCCTTCATTCTCCCGCAGTCTCCATCGTTCTCCTTCATTCTCCCTCAGTCTCCATCGTTCTCCTTCATTCTCCCTCAGTCTCCATCGTTCTCCTTCATTCTCCCTCAGTCTCCATCGTTCTCCTTCATTCTCCCTCAGTCTCCATCGTTCTCCTTCATTCTCCCTCAGTCTCCATCGTTTTCCTTCATTCTCCCTCAGTCTCCATCGTTCTCCTTCATTCTCCCTCATTCTCCATCGTTCTCCTTCATTCTCCCCCTGTCTCCATCGTTCTCCTTCATTCTCCCTCATTCTCCATCGTTCTCCTTCATTCTCCCTCAGTCTCCATCGTTCTCCTTCATTCTCCCTCAGTCTCCATCGTTCTCCTTCATTCTCCCTCAGTCTCCATCGTTCTCCTTCATTCTCCCTCAGTCTCCATCGTTCTCCTTCATTCTCCCTCAGTCTCCATCGTTCTCCTTCATTCTCCCCCAGTCTCCATCGTTCTCCTCCATTCTCCCTCAGTCTCCATCGTTCTCCTTCATTCTCCCGCAGTCTCCATCGTTCTCCTTCATTCTCCCGCAGTCTCCATCGTTCTCCTTCATTCTCCTGCAGTCTCCATCGTTCTCCTTCATTCTCCCTCAGTCTCCATCGTTCTCCTTCATTCTCCCTCATTCTCCATCGTTCTCCTTCATTCTCCCTCAGTCTCCATCGTTCTCCTTCATTCTCCCTCAGTTTCCATCGTTCTCCTTCATTCTCCCTCAGTCTCCATCGTTCTCCTTCATTCTCCCTCAGTCTCCATCGTTCTCCTTTATTCTCCCTCAGTCTCCATCGTTCTCCTTCATTCTCCCTCAGTTTCCATCGTTCTCCTTCATTCTCCCTCAGTCTCCATCGTTCTCCTTCATTCTCCCTCAGTCTCCATCGTTCTCCTTCATTCTCCCTCAGTCTCCATCGTTCTCCTTCATTCTCCCTCAGTCTCCATCGTTCTCCTTCATTCTCCCTCAGTCTCCATCGTTCTCCTTCATTCTCCCCCAGTCTCCATCGTTCTCCTCCATTCTCCCTCAGTCTCCATCGTTCTCCTTCATTCTCCCGCAGTCTCCATCGTTCTCCTTCATTCTCCCGCAGTCTCCATCGTTCTCCTTCATTCTCCTGCAGTCTCCATCGTTCTCCTTCATTCTCCCTCAGTCTCCATCGTTCTCCTTCATTCTCCCTCATTCTCCATCGTTCTCCTTCATTCTCCCTCAGTCTCCATCGTTCTCCTTCATTCTCCCTCAGTCTCCATCGTTCTCCTTCATTCTCCCTCAGTCTCCATCGTTCTCCTTCATTCTCCCTCAGTCTCCATCGTTCTCCTTCATTCTCCCTCATTCTCCATCGTTCTCCTTCATTCTCCCCCAGTCTCCATCGTTCTCCTCCATTCTCCCTCAGTCTCCATCGTTCTCCTTCATTCTCCCGCAGTCTCCATCGTTCTCCTTCATTCTCCTGCAGTCTCCATCGTTCTCCTTCATTCTCCCGCAGTCTCCATCGTTCTCCTTCATTCTCCCTCAGTCTCCATCGTTCTCCTTCATTCTCCCTCATTCTCCATCGTTCTCCTTCATTCTCCCTCAGTCTCCATCGTTCTCCTTCATTCTCCCTCAGTCTCCATCGTTCTCCTTCATTCTCCCTCAGTCTCCATCGTTCTCCTTCATTCTCCCTCAGTCTCCATCGTTCTCCTTCATTCTCCCTCAGTCTCCATCGTTCTCCTTCATTCTCCCTCAGTCTCCATCGTTCTCCTTCATTCTCCCCCAGTCTCCATCGTTCTCCTCCTTTCTCCCTCAGTCTCCATCGTTCTCCTTCATTCTCCCTCAGTCTCCATCGTTCTCCTTCATTCTCCTGCAGTCTCCATCGTTCTCCTTCATTCTCCCGCAGTCTCCATCGTTCTCCTTCATTCTCCCTCAGTCTCCATCGTTCTCCTTCATTCTCCCTCATTCTCCATCGTTCTCCTTCATTCTCCCTCAGTCTCCATCGTTCTCCTTCATTCTCCCTCAGTCTCCATCGTTCTCCTTCATTCTCCCTCAGTCTCCATCGTTCTCCTTCATTCTCCCTCAGTCTCCATCGTTCTCCTTCATTCTCCCTCAGTCTCCATCGTTCTCCTTCATTCTCCCTCAGTCTCCATCGTTCTCCTTCATTCTCCCTCAGTCTCCATCGTTTTCCTTCATTCTCCCTCAGTCTCCATCGTTCTCCTTCATTCTCCCTCATTCTCCATCGTTCTCCTTCATTCTCCCCCAGTCTCCATCGTTCTCCTTCATTCTCCCTCATTCTCCATCGTTCTCCTTCATTCTCCCTCAGTCTCCATCGTTCTCCTTCATTCTCCCTCAGTCTCCATCGTTCTCCTTCATTCTCCCTCAGTCTCCATCGTTCTCCTTCATTCTCCCTCAGTCTCCATCGTTCTCCTTCATTCTCCCTCAGTCTCCATCGTTCTCCTTCATTCTCCCTCATTCTCCATCGTTCTCCTTCATTCTCCCCCAGTCTCCATCGTTCTCCTCCATTCTCCCTCAGTCTCCATCGTTCTCCTTCATTCTCCCTCAGTCTCCATCGTTCTCCTTCATTCTCCCTCATTCTCCATCGTTCTCCTTCATTCTCCCCCAGTCTCCATCGTTCTCCTCCATTCTCCCTCAGTCTCCATCGTTCTCCTTCATTCTCCCTCAGTCTCCATCGTTCTCCTTCATTCTCCCTCAGTCTCCATCGTTCTCCTTCATTCTCCCTCAGTCTCCATCGTTTTCCTTCATTCTCCCTCAGTCTCCATCGTTCTCCTTCATTCTCCCTCATTCTCCATCGTTCTCCTTCATTCTCCCTCAGTCTCCATCGTTCTCCTTCATTCTCCCTCAGTCTCCATCGTTCTCCTTCATTCTCCCTCAGTCTCCATCGTTCTCCTTCATTCTCCCTCATTCTCCATCGTTCTCCTTCATTCTCCCCCTGTCTCCATCGTTCTCCTTCATTCTCCCTCATTCTCCATCGTTCTCCTTCATTCTCCCTCAGTCTCCATCGTTCTCCTTCATTCTCCCTCAGTCTCCATCGTTCTCCTTCATTCTCCCTCAGTCTCCATCGTTCTCCTTCATTCTCCCTCAGTCTCCATCGTTCTCCTTCATTCTCCCTCAGTCTCCATCGTTCTCCTTCATTCTCCCTCAGTCTCCATCGTTCTCCTTCATTCTCCCTCAGTCTCCATCGTTCTCCTTCATTCTCCCTCAGTCTCCATCGTTCTCCTTCATTCTCCCCCAGTCTCCATCGTTCTCCTCCATTCTCCCTCAGTCTCCATCGTTCTCCTTCATTCTCCCTCAGTCTCCATCGTTCTCCTTCATTCTCCTGCAGTCTCCATCGTTCTCCTTCATTCTCCCGCAGTCTCCATCGTTCTCCTTCATTCTCCCTCAGTCTCCATCGTTCTCCTTCATTCTCCCTCATTCTCCATCGTTCTCCTTCATTCTCCCTCAGTCTCCATCGTTCTCCTTCATTCTCCCTCAGTCTCCATCGTTCTCCTTCATTCTCCCTCAGTCTCCATCGTTCTCCTTCATTCTCCCTCAGTCTCCATCGTTCTCCTTCATTCTCCCTCAGTCTCCATCGTTCTCCTTCATTCTCCCTCAGTCTCCATCGTTCTCCTTCATTCTCCCTCAGTCTCCATCGTTTTCCTTCATTCTCCCTCAGTCTCCATCGTTCTCCTTCATTCTCCCTCATTCTCCATCGTTCTCCTTCATTCTCCCCCAGTCTCCATCGTTCTCCTTCATTCTCCCTCATTCTCCATCGTTCTCCTTCATTCTCCCTCAGTCTCCATCGTTCTCCTTCATTCTCCCTCAGTCTCCATCGTTCTCCTTCATTCTCCCTCAGTCTCCATCGTTCTCCTTCATTCTCCCTCAGTCTCCATCGTTCTCCTTCATTCTCCCTCAGTCTCCATCGTTCTCCTTCATTCTCCCTCATTCTCCATCGTTCTCCTTCATTCTCCCCCAGTCTCCATCGTTCTCCTCCATTCTCCCTCAGTCTCCATCGTTCTCCTTCATTCTCCCTCAGTCTCCATCGTTCTCCTTCATTCTCCCTCAGTCTCCATCGTTCTCCTTCATTCTCCCTCAGTCTCCATCGTTCTCCTTCATTCTCCCTCAGTCTCCATCGTTCTCCTTCATTCTCCCTCAGTCTCCATCGTTCTCCTTCATTCTCCCTCAGTCTCCATCGTTCTCCTTCATTCTCCCTCAGTCTCCATCGTTTTCCTTCATTCTCCCTCAGTCTCCATCGTTCTCCTTCATTCTCCCTCATTCTCCATCGTTCTCCTTCATTCTCCCTCAGTCTCCATCGTTCTCCTTCATTCTCCCTCAGTCTCCATCGTTCTCCTTCATTCTCCCTCAGTCTCCATCGTTCTCCTTCATTCTCCCTCATTCTCCATCGTTCTCCTTCATTCTCCCCCTGTCTCCATCGTTCTCCTTCATTCTCCCTCATTCTCCATCGTTCTCCTTCATTCTCCCTCAGTCTCCATCGTTCTCCTTCATTCTCCCTCAGTCTCCATCGTTCTCCTTCATTCTCCCTCAGTCTCCATCGTTCTCCTTCATTCTCCCTCAGTCTCCATCGTTCTCCTTCATTCTCCCTCAGTCTCCATCGTTCTCCTTCATTCTCCCTCAGTCTCCATCGTTCTCCTTCATTCTCCCTCATTCTCCATCGTTCTCCTTCATTCTCCCCCTGTCTCCATCGTTCTCCTTCATTCTCCCTCATTCTCCATCGTTCTCCTTCATTCTCCCTCAGTCTCCATCGTTCTCCTTCATTCTCCCTCAGTCTCCATCGTTCTCCTTCATTCTCCCTCAGTCTCCATCGTTCTCCTTCATTCTCCCTCATTCTCCATCGTTCTCCTTCATTCTCCCTCAGTCTCCATCGTTCTCCTTCATTCTCCCTCAGTCTCCATCGTTCTCCTTCATTCTCCCTCAGTCTCCATCGTTCTCCTTCATTCTCCCTCATTCTCCATCGTTCTCCTTCATTCTCCCCCTGTCTCCATCGTTCTCCTTCATTCTCCCTCATTCTCCATCGTTCTCCTTCATTCTCCCTCAGTCTCCATCGTTCTCCTTCATTCTCCCTCAGTCTCCATCGTTCTCCTTCATTCTCCCTCAGTCTCCATCGTTCTCCTTCATTCTCCCTCAGTCTCCATCGTTCTCCTTCATTCTCCCTCAGTCTCCATCGTTCTCCTTCATTCTCCCTCAGTCTCCATCGTTCTCCTTCATTCTCCCTCAGTCTCCATCGTTCTCCTTCATTCTCCCTTCGTCTCCATTTTTCTCCTTCATCCTCCCTCAGTCTCCATCGTTCTCCTTCATTCTCCCTCAGTCTCCATCGTTTTCCTTCATTCTCCCTCATTCTCTCTAACTCTCCATTCTCCCTCATTCTCTCTAACTCTCCCTCACTCTCTCTCATTCTCCCTCAGTCTCCCCCTCACTCTCTCTCATTCTCCCTCAGTCTCCCTCAGTCCCTCTCAGTGCCCCTCATTCTCCCCCAGCTTCGCTCATTCTCCACCAGTCGCCTTCTTTCTCCCTCATTCTCCCTCATTCTCCCCCAAACTCCGCATTCTCCCTCGTTCTCCCTCACTCTTCCTTGTTCTCCCTCATTCTCCTCACTCATCTACCGTGTCAACCCACCCATGGCTGACCCAAGTCACAGACTCACAGTACCCATCCCTCTGTCTCAGTCTGCAACAGCACGGTAGCACATGCTACATATCTCGCACAGACAATGTATGTCTGCACGTTTGAACAAGTGTCAACAGCTTGTGCATCCGTACCTTTCGGCGAATCCTGCCACGAGGCCAATTGTCTCTGGTGCGGTTCAGTGTGCATTAGCCGCACACTTACGCGGCTACGTGAAAAATACCGTACATTTGTTTTGACAATCTCAAGAGTTCAATGTGCATAAACCGCACTCGTGCAGAGCTGCAGCTAGTAAACGGCCTTGTAGGGCAGTCAATAGAGGGTCGGTGTTGACTGAAGGTGGAATGTCCCTACATGGTATCGCAGTGATTGCCGTCAGGAGCTTACCTACCTACATTTTGAGTCGGCTCGAAAGTCAATCGAGGGTAGGTGTTGAGTGATGGTGGCAAAGGCAATCCTTGGCATCACGAGATTACTTCTTGAGTCCGCCCGAAAGTCAACTATGGGCAGGTGTAAACTGATGACGGGAATACCCTCCTTTGCATCACGGTGATTACCATTGAAGGTCTAAATTGAAAGCAGCAAACGGCTAGAACACACAACCATGGATGGACCCATAGGTAATGCAGCCACAGCAGCTGAAGCGGCTACAGCAGGTACAGTGGCCACAGCAGCTACAGAGGCCACAGCAGCTACAGAGGCCACAGAAGCTACAGAGGCTATCTATAGAAGCTGCAGCAACATATGCAGAATCTAGAGCAGCAGCTTCTGTTGCAAGAGAATGAGAGGCAGCTGGAGCACCCGCCCCTACTACAGCAGAATCAACCACTACTATAGCAGAAGCCACTACTGTGGTGGGGGTGGTGGCCGTGAGGCTGCTACCGCCGCTGTGCGGGGAGGTGGCGGGGGTGGTTAACGCCGCTGCTGACGACACGCTGCTGCACCGCCGCCCACCTCCTCCTCTCTCTCTCCCTACCTTCTGCCGCTGGGGGGGGGGGTGGGGGTTGAGGGGGCGGAGGGAGTGCATTTGATGCATCAACCGCTGCCCCTCTCTCTCACTGCCGCGCCTGCTGCTGTGGGGGAGTGGACTTGCAGCACCAGCCGCCTCCTCCTCCTCCTCTCATTCCTCCTCTCTCCCTCTTTCCACTCCTTGTGCTTCCGCTGCACTCTCTCCCTCTCCTCCTCTCTCTCTCTCTCTCTCTCTCTCTCTCTCTCTCTCTCTCTCTCTCTCTCTCTCTCTCTCTCTCTCTCTCTCTCTCTCTCTCTCTCTCTCTCTCCTACTGCTGCCACTCTTCCTGCAGCCGTCATACCCATCTGCTGCCACTGACACCTGCCGGCCCATGCTGCCTGTTGCAGCCGCCGCGCCTGTCGCCCCAGCACATGCCGTCGCCGCACCCACTGCTGCCCCACCTGCCGCCATTGTGCACCTGCTTCTGCTGCCTGTTGCTGGCGCCCGCTTCTGCTGCGGTTGAGCCCTGCTGTGCCACTGCCTGCTGTAGCCGCAGCACCCGCCCCGGCAGCCCCTACCGCCGCCACACCCGCCGCTGCTGCATCTGCTGTGGCTGAGCATTTGCCGCAGCTGCATCTGCCACCACTGCACCTGCTGCTAGTGCAACTGCTGTCAAGAATAGAACTAGGAATGAATGATTGAACTAGGCAAGAGGTGAGTAAAAGTAGAGGAAACCTAGCCCTAAAGTGTTGTACTCACTAAGGAGTGACCCTACTGTAGCCTAGAGATACAATTGTAATCTAACACACCCCCATAGGCAAAGTAGGGGACAACAAACACAACAAGCGGTCACAAGACCAGTCTGCAGAAGAGAACACAGCTCAGGGTGGATCACAAAGTCACCACGCATTCCGAGCACAAGCAAGTGGCCACACGGCCAGTTCACATGCAGAGGTATATAATAGCAAGGCAGTACACTGATCACAACCTAGCAAGAGAAAACATGCAGGTATGAAGATATATAGCAGTGTACAACAAGAGCAAGTCAAGCAACCAACAGGTGAGGCAGAATGGGCACAAGCCCAAGAGCAGTGCAGAAACGGTGATGATCACCAGACCCAAGGGCCTTGGTGAAGACATCAGCAGTGTTGGCCCGAGAGGCCACGTAAGCAAGACGCAGCTGACCACGCTGCTGCAGCTCACGCGCAAGGAAGTAGCGAAGAGCAATGTGCTTCGTTCTGTGCTCCAGTCTCTGCTCGCGACACAAGGCAAGCATTGCCTTGTTGTCGACGTACAGAACTGGAGGAGAACGAGGCCGCTCCCCCAAGTCGGTCAGCAGGTAGGTCAGCCAGCGTAGCTCCTGTGCAGCCATGGCCTTAGCGTAGATCTCGGCCTCACAGCTGGAACCAAGCACAGAAGAAGAACGAGTGGACCTCCACGAGACAGAACCAGCGCCAAGACTGAACGTGTAACCCTGTGACGAACGCTGAGTCATCTGGTCGTCGGCCCAAGAAGCGTCAGAGTGTCCTGTGAGGACCACCGAACCCCGTCCTCCAAGCATGAGCCCCATGCCCGATGTGCTGCACAAGTAACGCAGTACCCTCTTCGCAGCATCAAAGTGCACCTTTCGGTGTCGACCAGGTGCCACGTAGCGAGCCAGGAGGCTGAGTGGGTACGCGAGGTCAGGTCGTGTGCACGTCATCAGGTACATGAGGCAACCCACAAGCTCTGGGTACGGACCACTCGGCTCTACGGACTCGTCCGAAGGTGGAGCTGAGAGCGAGTGGCCGGTAGACACAGGAGTGGGCTGTGCCGAGGACCAAGTGAAGCCGAAGCGCTGAAGGACCTGGTGCACCATGTGTGACTGAGTGAGGGTGATGGTGCGCCGTGGTCTGTCCCGGGTGATCTGCAAGCCAAGATAGCTCCGCAGCTCACCCAAGTCAGTGCAGGTGTGTCTCTCCTGCACCTCCGCCTTCACTAGGGCCAGTGCCTCAGTGTCAGCAGTAGCAAAAACCAAGTCGTCGACGTACACGAGGATGTAGAACGGCGGCAGAGTAGTGTCGGTGCGGAGAAACAGCGACGGGTCAGCAGTCGAAGGAGCAAACCCAAGAGCCGCAAGTGTCGTCCTCAGTGTGTCGTGCCACTCACGGGGCGCCTGACGCAGGCCGTACAGTGGTCGTCGTAGGCTCCACTGGGTACCCTCAGGAAACGACCCAGTGAAGCCCTGTGGACGGCGCAACCAGATGGCCTCGTGAAGGCTACCCTGCAAGAAAGCTGTCGAGAAGTCGAGGGAGTGCAGCTCGTAGTCACGCTGAGCTGCAACGTGTAGCAACACCCGAAGAGTGGTCATCTTCAGGGTGGGGGAGAAGGTCTGAAAGAAGTCGACCCCCTCGCGCTGACTGAAGCCTCGAGCAACGTAACGTGCCTTGAAGGCAGGCGGAGAACCCGGCGGCCGCTTCACCCTGAAAATCCACATGCCACTGACGATGTTCGCCCCAGGTGGGGGAACCTCGTCGACGTAGGTGCCTGTGGACTTCCAGGAAGCCATCTCTGCGTCCATGGCTGTCTGCCACTGAGAGGAGTACTCACCCGAAATCGCCTCCCTGTAGGAGCGCGGGGTGGGGATGTCAAGTGCATCCGGGTCTCCCTCAGGGGCAAGCAGCATGGTCGCGTGATGGGGTGAAGCGGCAGCAAGGCACTCCAGCTCCTCCTGTCTGTCCTCAAGAACGTCACAGCCAAGGGCAGTACAGCCAAGAGCAGTCTCACCCCCGACGGACGGAGGACAGGCAGGGACAGGGTCAGAGACAAGACTCGCAAGGTAGTCTAGGCGGTACACAGCAGCAAAGTCAACGAGCTCAGCTACGAGGGCAGACGCAGCAGGAGACGAGAACGTAGGGTCCGTCACAACCGTAGCAAGAAGGCGAGTAACAGTCGGACTGGACGCACGAGCAAGGTCAGACGGAGGGCAGAGAGGACGCAGGAGGTAACGGTAGGGCAACACGCTGAGGAACAGAGGAAGGACGGAGTGTCATATCGTGAGTGCCGGGGACAGCCGGAGCACGCTGACGACGAACACGAGGAACACGAGCACGGACAGCAGCTCTAGGCTCAGGCTCAAGGTCAAAGCTAGACACAGGCTCTCGACGCTCAGGGGTGGACGCACGAGTCTCAGGCTCTCGACGCTCAGTTAGGGACTCTGACACCGCAGTGTAAGGAGCAGGAGCAGGCAGTGGGGAGTGTGGTAGCAGCAGTGGCTGTGACTGGTCCGCCGGTGGACACAGCAACGGAGGAGTAGTACCTACCACAGGGAAGCCAGTAGCACCTGGCGGAAGACTGAGAAGGTGGCGACGAGCACCAGTAGCTCCCGTACCTCCAGCACGAGCAGCTCCTCCAGTAACCCCAGCAACACCTCCAGCACCAGTAGCACCAGCACCTCCAGCACCACGAGCTCCGACAGTGCCAGCACCTCGAGCACCAGTAATACCTCTAGCACCTCCAGTGCCTCCAGCTCCAGCAGCACCTCCTGCACCTCCAGCACCAGCAGTACCACCTGCTCCGGCAGCTCCAGCACCTCCAGTACGAGCACCTCCGGGACCAGTAGCTCCAGCACCTCCAGTACCTCCAGCTCCAACGCCTCCAGCACCAGCAGCACCCGCAGCTCCAGCACCAGTAGCACCAGCACCTCCAGTGCCAGTAGCTCCAGCACCTCCAGTAACAGTAGTACCTCCAGCACCAGCAGCTCCAGTACCTCCAGCTCCAGTACCTCCAGCACCGGCAGCACCTCCAGTACTAGCAGCTCCAGTACCTCCAGCACCAGCAGCAGCTCCAGCACCCCCAGTACCAGCAGCTCCAGTACCTCCTGCACCAGCAGCACCTCTAGTACCTCCAGTAGTACCTCCAGCACCTCCAGCACCAGCAGCACCTCCTGGACTAGTAGCTCCAGCACCAGCAGGACCGTACCCTCCACCACCAGGACTGCCTCGCAGAACGACCCACGCACGAATCGCCTGCGGCGAGAGCGTCTCAAGTAGAGCAGGCTGCGGTGGCTGTCCAGCTCCAGTACCTCCAGTAGTGGTAGCTCTAGCTCCTCCCGCACCAGAAGCACCTCTA